CTAAACTGGTATTAAATCGTAAAAACGCGTTCAAACAATTGCCATAAACGAAAAGTTCGGCTTTTTAAGTTCTCACTATTTTTATTAGCTCGCTCCGGCCTTTCAAATAATTTTATAACTCACTCAAAATCATCCGGCATCTGGAAGGCGTTCGGCTGGACGTGGGCGACTTCTTCGCCAAGGCAGAGCAGTCTGAAACCGATCATTTGCGATAAATTCTTTAAATTCAATATTTTCACGAAGATGCTGACCCTCAATTCAGCGTTTTTATGTATTAAGAAGCTTAAAAAATTAATTTTTTTGAAGCTCACCCAGCTACCGTAACCTTCCGAAGCTCCCCAAGTTGTTCTTCGGTGAAAGCGATCGGCGCCAGGGTTGTTTCGTACCAAAATCGGTCGCCGAATTTTGCCTAAACAGAGTCTTGTCTTGGAATGGAATTTAGACAACATTTGACAGTACAAAAATAGGTTTACCTTTTCAAACTGCATCGCCAGAATGCAACCAATTGTTGGGCCCACGATAGCTCCAGGTATGGGTCGCTCCAAGAAGGCACCGACCGGGAGATCGATGTCTAAAAGAAGCGGTTTTTTAAGTTCACTGGAAGTAAGCTTACCTTCTACTTTTCGATAATGATGCTTGAAGAAATTTATCGATTTATGTGGATGAATCATGTCGCCGGCGACGTCACCAAAGTGTTCAGCCTGAAAAGAGGCTTTTCGACAATCCTAAGTAAGCACATTTTTTCCAGTTTTTCCTTATATTTTCTGTATCTTTTTAAGTGGTGAAGACACCAGGTCAAACAGTACAAACTCCATAAAAAAGGAAAACAAGGCACAAAGGGTCAGTTATAGTAAGGCAGTAAACGTAAAAAACGGGATTTGGTCAGCTTTTTGACCCAAATTACCTTTCCAAGATGACACTTCTTCCTCCAACTTCCATATCCCTTTAGCCCATGATCTCGGGCGACAAAGACGCTTTCAGCTATCGTCGGGATTTCGTTGAGTCCAAGAGACCCGATTGAGCCTCCATTTCCGAGGGATGAGGTGATCGGATCGGTCAGGAGATGCCTAAATCAGAAATATTGCTTCCCAAAGAATCTCTGCTAGCCTGCCCCTCCATTCCCGCCAATTCCTCAGGAAATCTCTGCTAGCCTGTCTTTTCTACTTACTGTATCGAGTCCCCGTCAGAATGTAGCGACCCGTGTCGACCACCCAGCGATTCGATTAGCTAAAACGACGAAAATCATGCTTTTTTATCAATTTTTACTGTTTTTCTTAATGCTTCCACATCAGAAAGAGCACCAGCGTTCAGTTTTGGGTCGTATTTATAGGTAAAGGATGACGTTAGGTCCATCTAAAAATCATTTGGGGTTTTGAGCTGCTATTTTGCATTTAGCATACCGTAGTCATCCTATCCCGCCCCAAAAGGATGGGTAAAACTTCAGAATAGACGACGTGCTGCCAGAGAGCAATAACGACACGTCGTGCTCCTTGGAAGAGACGTTCGTCCGTCCAGCTTGGATTTGTTTCCTAGAACGGGGGCTGATTGTTAGCTATGGCTCTCTCACTCTCTCTCTCTCTCTTTCCCGCTCTCGTTCTGTCTCACTCCACCATGCTCTCTCCCTCTACCCCTCGCTCTCTCGCTCTCTCACTCTCTCTCAGTCTAACACTCTCCCACTCTATCACTCTCTCTCTCTCTCTCTCTATTTCTCTCTATCTCTCATCTCTCTCTCTCTCTCTCTGTCTCTCTCTCTAGCTCTCTCTCTCTTTCTCTAACCTACCGATAGTCCAGCCGCCAATCTGTTGTGGACCTTGGCAAAAATATTTCTGAGTCTTCGGCTTCCCGAGGCACTCGTGTCCGCGACCAGCTTCAGCTCTCCTTAAATTTTTAGCTATTTTTGGCTGGATCCTTGCTGTCGCTGTCCCTTCAATATCGTCAGCAGTACTCTCGTATACAGGAAGGTTACTGTTTACGATATCAGATCGGCTGGATTCGATAAGTGAGCAAGAGCTTGAAAAGGCAAGCCTACCTCTATCAAAAACCCTCCTCGCTCTCGTCTCGGCACTTGAGCTGCCGTACACCGGGCCCGCATCAATATGTCCTGAGGCCTCATTAGTTTGCTCCCGCTTGATCGGCTCGCAATTTTTGGAGGGGAGAGCGAGAGAACGTGGGTAGGAGTGACAGTGGGCCGCTCTGGAAAGAAAAATTCGCAAATGGAGAGAGATATATAGAGAGAGAGAAAGCGAGAAAGACCGTAAGAGAGAGAGAGAGAGAGAGAGAGAGAACGCAGGAGAAAGACACCTACATTTCATTCCCTGGTCCTTCGAGACATTCAGGAGAGTGATCGCAACATTCCAAATGGCCGAGCCCTAAAAATTAGGACCAATTCTGATTTAATTTTTACCTGAAATCATGTTGAAATTTATAGCAAGTTTTGATTGGATAATTGACGTACCAGGCCCATTTTTAAAAGGTATCCTCTTTGAAATGTCGCTCAATAGGAAATGCAGAAATTCCGTAAATAGACGAGTGACGGGTAGAGAAACGTCATGAGAGAGCTAAAAAAAATCAATTTTTATGTTTTTTTTTTGACGTCATCGCTGACCTTTTCAATCTCGCCGGAAATGTGAAACGGATCTGGTAGATGCTTTTCCCTTGGATGACTCAGTTCTGAACTTATGCAATGATGGATTTTCAAGGCGGGAGCAAGATACTAATTTTCAATTTCAGCGAAGTCTATAATAAGGAACTTTAGAGCTTATTGCTTACCATCCTCATATTCCGGCGGGAATTCCCTAGAAAACCTTGACAGGGCGGCTCCCCATTCGGGGTGATCAACGTTGTTGCAGGTTCCATCAAAAGTTCTAGAAATCAATGTATTGAAAAGTTTTAATCTTATATCTTTTATCATTTTTTATGAACTTTATTTATTTCATAAAAGGTTAGAGATTACGCTAAGAAGCTAAAAGATTTTGCAATTACCGAAATTTAGTCGGATTACAGTGAAATCGTCGCCTCGGGCACATCTTCTTCAACTCCTTGGCCGTTTTTGGGGGAATTTCATGCCTAAAATTGATTGTTTTACAAGGTCACCTTACTTTCGATTTTTCCCAATCGCATTTAGTTTTTTTTACTTCTTAATTTCTTAGTAACTAACCCCTCATAACGTCGCGCCACCTCCTCAGCTACGAGAGCGGCAAAAGCCGCATTTTTCGCGACTTTTAGCGGCCCCTTGACGTCACTAGAGAATTCTACAATGCAGAAGCTATGTGATTTTTTGAAGCTTTTTTGCTGTACCAAAATTAAACGGTCCATAGGTGCCGTTGAACCACGATTCCACAGCTGAAATAGCGTCTCCGACCGGTCCATGGGAGTGTTCTGAATGACTTTACAGCTCCTTTAAAGCTGGCGAAGCCCACCTTTGGCCCAAAACGGCGAGAAATCATTGTAGTGCGGCTGCCAAAAATTGGGTTTTGCGATAATAGGTAGGCACCAAGCGGCCAGCAATAACCATTCTCTCATCTGGCTGGAAGATCTGAAAACCGAGGTCTGTTTTAAAGGGGTTAGGAAGCGCGAGAATCGACTCTTTCTGATGACTGGGTCTACACAGCTACGCTGCACTCCAAATGACACGTTTTAATCGCGGTTTGATAGCTCGAAAGCTTGACGTTAGATAAATCCTTCATGCGTCATGTGGATTATTGCGTGGCTGTCGAGACCTAGTGATGGAAGAGTCGATTTTCGGGCTTTCTAGGTCCCTTAAAGGTTACAGAACACCTTAGAACAATCGTATGATATAGAAAACATGATAAAGAATTTATGGGAGGTACCGAACCACCGGAATTACCGATAAATCAGACTAATGAGTTCTTTCATTTTTTTAGGAAAACAGTCTGCTTCCGAGGGACTATTTTTGTTTTATGCTGTTTCAAATTATAGAATTACTGCAGATAACGGCAAAAACAAAGAAAATTGTACAAAGAAGCGTCTTGGAATCCGTGGAATGAATAAGACGGTGCGTGTGGTCCCTCTCTCTGGAGGATAGTGCAAGTAATGCACTGAGATGATACCAGTTCTGCCCCAGTTCACTCACTCTCTCTCTCTCTCTCTCTCTCTCTCTCTCTGTCTCTCGCTTACTCTCTCTCTTTCTCTCACTCTCTCGCTGTCTCCCTCTCTCCTCTTTTCCCATTCAGCTTCTCCCTCCCCTCATGATTGTACAAACCCCAGTGGCTAGGCGATGGCACACGCCGTGGTGCCCTAGAAAATTGTATACCCCTCCAAGCCAATAAACTTTATTACCATTGGTTATCACGGAATATATCAGTGGCTTGATGGCCGGGTGCCAAGAAAATTACTATTGTAGGTTTTCCTACGGGGGAAAGCTCGGAAAAACATCGTCTTGGCATTCTCTGAAAATTCGTGGCATCTTTGGCGCGCAAGGTGGGAATTGGCAAGCTAGGAATGTCTGCACTTTTGTTTCTGAAAAACCAGATCTTGGGGCGTGAAGTCGTGGGGTATGAGATCGCGAATGTTTCAGGGTAGGCGTTCGCCTATTTCGGCACAAAATGAGGGCGAGCTCCCTTCGCCTCGCTCTCTCTCCCCCTCTCTCTCTCTCCCTCTCTCTCCCTCTCTCTCTCTCTCTCTCTCTCCTCTCTCTCTCCCCTCTCTCCTCTCTCCCTCTCCCCTCTCTCCCTCTCTCTCCCTCTCTCTCTCTCTCGCTCTCTTGGGTTTCTCTATGCAGAAAATTTATTCTCCGTCCATTAATTAACAGCGGGCAGTGCAGCTCTGGCTTAACGGCAAACTACCAGGTTTGTGTTGTCGTTTAGGTCCGTGTACCTAAACAGCACTTCGTCTACCGTACTTTCAAACTGACCATCTTCCACCAGCGTTTGCCGCCGAAAAATCGACACACGGGATATCAGTATTGATGTTTGTGAAGGTGGTGCCCGCGTTGTTTTGAACCCTCAACTTTTGTTGCTTTTTAGAAATAGTTTGTTTTACTTATATCCATTTGCGCATCCGGAGAATTGGGCCCGTTTGCAGTAGAATTTTTCTTCGTAGCGGGTCTTTACAGTAATCCCGGCGGCCACGTTTGGAGTGGGGCACGCGGCGCAAGCTAAAACTTGGCCGGCGGCCATCGGATAGTTAGTCGAAAGTAATGTTGAAAGACTTCAAGTATTTTTTAACTTTAAATAATAGCATTTTTCGTAACTTTCCGTGATCGAGTCAAGGTATTTGAATGGATGTTAAACTAGGGCTTTTCGGGCTGAAATTAAACCTCTCAGTACTGTTTGACGTCCATCGCAGGACGGTTTGAAATTGGTGGCCCATCCCTTTTTATCCCCCCCCCCTCCGGTTAAAGGGATAGGGGCGGCATAAGTCAATCGATTACGCGCGGGAAAGAAAATGTCTCTGCGCCTCTCCCCTGGGCGCCCTCTCTCGCCGCAGCATCTGTTGAACCCCCCCTCCCCATGGGGGGTTCATCTCTTTAAGCAACCTTTACCAGAAATACGTACATTTTTTCTGGTTCTTGCCGAACACTTACCCGTGGTGTAGCAAATATTTCCAGTGACGATATACGACACTCCCTCGTAAACAGTTCGATAATTCCCACTCGTACACTTCAATTCTTGCGATTCAGAAGCTGGGGGAGGGATCGTGATCACACCCTGGTCCGTCTCCAGTCTGAACGTGCAAGACTTAAAGAAACATTCACCACCCAGTTTTATGAAATCGGTTCACGCTATAGCAGGCTGTTTCCTAAAGGGTGTGGGTTCCCTTGGGGGCGGGGGGGGGTACCGCGACACTTGCGGCGCGGACGCTTGCGACGCGACACTTGCGGCGCGACCTTGCGGTTATTTAGTCTAAGCTATATAAAAATCTGAAGCTATATATGAACACCAATCCAACAATCACAAACAAAATCCGTGAAGAAATGCTAAATTTACAACATTTCAAAATAATAAATGCTGCGCGGCAAGTGTCGGCCGCAAGTGTCGCGCTGCAAGTGTCGGGGTGCCCTTGGGGGGAAGAGGGCCTGCCCTGACTCACTCCAGTCGACCTGTTGGCGCATTAGTTTTGTGTTCGCTTGCCGGGCACAGAGCATGGGTTCGACCCCCGGCCGTGGCGAGTCTTTTTGCTTTTTCATCGAAAGCTGGGCGTTGGGGTTTCTTTACAGGTGCCAGGTGCACCGAAGTTTCGGAGGGCCCTTTGATTGCCAAATCGTCGCGGCGGGAGCAAGCCCGCCCTCTTTCGGTTTGCGTGAAATTGTTTTTGCACGGGTTGTTTGTGAAAACCCTATAATTCACAGATTCGGAACTGAATTATGTAATCCTAACTCAACCAATCGCTGTCAATTGTCTTCGGAATGCGAAAACCATTCGCGCGCTGCCATACCTCAAATTCCCTCCAACAGGGCAGCCATTTTCAGCCTTTGAGCACCCATCCTCGGTCGTGAAATAGAAATAGCCCTGGACCTGAAAATCGTTGTTTGTCGTCGACCCTCATCAAGGAATGGGTGTTTATACTGGCTATTTCAAAAGGAGTAAAGTTCCCGGAGGAAGCTCCGTTTGGGATGCTTCCTATTCCATTCGTAAGCCCCTGAAAAGGCGAAAAAAACAAGCGGGTTTTTTTCGGAAATTCATAGAACATTCTTGATCATAAACGTTTTATTAAAAACCGTTTTTTTTTGCGTCCAAATCGCAATTGGCGTGTGGATTTCGCACGAATCAGCTTTTTTCACGGCTTTTCGTCAAAAAATACATAATTGAATCACTTCAACTAGAAAAGAGACACGTCTTGTTTTCTTGCCTATTCGAGAGATTTCGATTGCTACTTCAAGCCTGAAAGATAGGATAGGACTACAAGAGGCTAGAGGCGGTACTTGCGCTATTCCATCTAAACTAAAGTTGTTATTCGACCCGGGTCGAAATGGACGAAAGTTTGGTAGGCTCCCGCAGCGAAAACTTTGTAAAATTCATAGCTTTTTTCTAAAGTGGAATTCCGCGATTTCGTCTTCATTTTTGATTCTGTGAGATCATTTCCTCCATTTTGAGTCCTTAAGCTATAAGTTTTCATGCTAGAATCACAATGAACGGTCTGCTTGCCTTGTTCCGCGCGCGGCCATTTCTCGGAACCACTTCCCCCTTGCCATGGTATGCCGTTCTTTGTGATTCTAGCATGAAAACTTATAGTTTAAGGACTCAAAATGTAGGAAATGATTTCACAGAATCAAAAATGAAGACGAAATAGCGGAATTCCACTTTAGAAAAAAGTTATGAATTTTGCAAAGTTTTCGCTGCGGGGGCCTACAAAAGTTTCGACCATTTCGACCCGGGTCGAATAACAACTCTAATCTAAACCCACCAAAGTCAGAGGCGAAGGCGGTGTCTGCGAAGGATTTGGGCATTGGTCACATGGTGCCGAGTGATTGGCAGTCTTGCAGCCGACCGCCAGCGCTTAAAAATTATTGTGGGAATTACCAGGTTTGTTGCCAAGGCGTTGTAATAACAGTTCAATTAATCATGCTCCAAATTGACCTGGAAACGCGAACAGCAGAAAGGACGTTGAGAATAGCATCGGCTCCAGGCGTCCCGCGAGTTGAGAATGATATTTTTCGGAAATTTTTGTGCAAGGGTCACCCTTTTATTGTTAGCCACCTCCACAGCATGTTCACGGTGTGGGAATCCCGCCCGCGTCCACTATTCCCTGGCTATACAAATTTAAATCAGAAGGCCACGCTCAGGCGCCTTGCAAGGCCGAAGATCAACTTAAAGGGGCTACGAAATGCCAATAATTGTGTGACGGCCCGGAAATCGAAGCCCTGTACGTCGGAGGCCTCTGTACGCCCAGAGGCCGGGAAGCTCGCAAAAGTCGAAATTGCCTGTTGTCACCTCGAAATCACGTTCTCGGCTGTTTCTGGGCCAAATTTGATGATTAAAACACCAAAACTATTTAAAATTGAGTGAGTATTTCAAAAATGGGCTCAGAATGCGCGAATTATAGTGTTTTCACAAAGAAACCAGGCAAAACAACTTTGCGCAAAAATCGAAAGAATGGGGGCTCTTGTCTCGCAGCGCCCGCTGGCAATTTGACAGAAATCAAAGAGCCCTCCCAAAAGGGCTTTGATTTGGCGGTTCGGAGCACCTTTAACGAAAAATCATAAACAGGCTGCAAGGTTGTTTTTAAAAAGATTGTTTGTTCAGGAATCGGGATGCGCAAAAATTGAGCTCTTGGCAAGGCGCTGACTAGCTTCCAACGCTTTACCCAGTTGCAGCGGGAATCAACTATCAACTAGCATAAAAAGTTTGTGTTCTCCGCGTGTCTTAAGCCAAATTCAACTCGAAGGGGAATGGAGCTAGAGCTGAGGTCTCCTCGGATTCGGAGAGAGCGCGGTCAGAAACTCCTACAATGATCAAGAACATAATCTAAAACCCTGATTTTCATGCTTAAAAATTGATTTTTGTAATTTGGTAGCAAAAACGGTTATTTGCACGTTAATGGACATAGTGAGCCAGGTCGCGCGCGTTTCGGCGAGGGGAAGGGAAGGGAAGAGCCGGACTTCTGGCCGGGGGGTAGCCAGAAGTCCGGCTACTCCGGCTAATTAGTGCGCTTGCGGCGGTTGGTTATAGGATAGTATGTTGAGCATTTATTAAGTTTATTATTATTAGCACTAATTATTATTAATAATATCATTCTTATTAAAGCCACAATCGGCTTCTCCTTATCGGCAAACGACCTGGTTGGCGTTGTCGTTCAGGTTGGTGTACCTAAATGGCAAATATTCTACCGTAATCTCAAGAAAAACGTGGTTCAAAAGCAACAAAAACACGAGAGTCTATTCTACCGTGTTCTCGACAGAAAAAAAGGTGAAAAACTCTACAAAACTGACCATCGTCCACCAGCGTTTGCCGCCGAATAATCGACGCACGGGATGTCGTCATTGATGTTTGTGAAAATCGTGCCAGCGTTGTTCGGGACCCTGGAAATTTTGGATAATTCATGTTTTTAAATTCTTAGTTTTATTTTGTTGCTTTTTTTGCATTTTTGAAGGCAAACTAGCAGAGAGCCTTTGGGAATTAGGCAACATTCTATTGATAGATTTTTCAAAGCGCTAAAACCCACTTGTATCCATTAGCGCATCCGCTGAATTGTGCTCGTTTGCAGAAGGATGTCTCATCGTATGTCGTAGTTACCGTAATCCCGGCGGCTACGATAGGAGTGGGGCATGACGCACAAGCTAAATAGAGTTTTAAATCCTTTTCTAAATTTTTTTGAAATTCCTTTTAAATTTTTAAATTTTTACCGCATTCTATAGATTTCTATAGCTTTAAAATGCCTTAAATAATTCGCTAGAGATCACTGCCCCTTTAAAGGCAAAATAAAGAAAACTTTGGCGCAAAAAGGCTAATTCTCAACTTACAACGGCTTACTTTAATTAGATTACAGTCACCTTGATAAGATATGCTTTTTATTTCGTGCTTTACGTGCCTTCACCTGCCCTTTAAAATACTTACGCATGGTATAGCAAATATCCTCAGTTACGGTATATGTCATTCCCTGGTAAACCGTCTGATAGTTGCCTCCCGTACACGTCAATTCTTGAGATTCGGCTGCGGTCGGAGGGATTGTGATCACACCCTGGTCCGTGACAAGCCTGAAAATTAGCATTACAGGGGCCAAAGAGCCGTACTATCGACCCCTTCGATCTACTAGGTCTCGACGGCAACGCGGAACTCCAAATGACGCAGGGAATATATAGGATTCCGCTGTTGGCTCAAAGGAGCCGCCAGTGGCTACAAAATTAGATCGAAACGTGTGTTTTGGAATGAGCGTAGCTGTCGAGACCTAGTCGATGTAAGGGGCCGATTCTGGAGGGTTTCTAATCCCTTTAATGGTAGGAGCAAGGTATGAATATGGATTCACGGCCCATGGAAGCCTGATGGAGTACGAGAGAGAATGAGAGAGAGCGAGCGAGAGAGAGAGAGAGAGAGAGAGAGAGAGAGAGAGAGAGAGAAAGGGAGAGAGATCGCGATAGACAGAGGAGAGAGAGCGAGAGACAGAGGGAGAGAGGGAGAGAGCGCTGAGAGAGTGAGAGAGAGCCCGAGAGAGCTCTACCTCAAATTTCCATCAGCGGGACAGTTATTTGTAGCCGTTGAGCATCCTGCGGCATCTGTGCCAAAGCTGTAGTAGCCTTGGTCCTAAAATATACCTTGGGGTTACCCTCAAAATAAATAAATATGCGTCACAAATCAGTTACGAAAACAGGTGGCAGTTTTACAGGTTTCAAAGTTGCTAAGACAACAATTTTCTCAAAAAACCTTACCGTAACCCCAGTGGCGGGTGCTGTCTGCGTCGTGTCGGTACAAGTCGCGCAAGCTAAAAACTTAGTATTCAAAAACGCTGTTTTTTTCTACCAGGAGTTGTAGTTGTAATTGGTGCGGCAGTGCTTGTTGTTGTCACTGGAGGCTCGACAATCCGCATACAGCAGGAAGCGAGGGCTGAAATAGACATTTCTTGCGCCTGCTTTTCAGACTTCAGTTTCCCTAAAGGCCTTTGCTAGCTGCCACGATCACTAAAAACAGAAGCGGATTTTCTATAAACATTTCGCAACGATTTTGGTCCCAATGAGTTCCCAAAAGATCTCTGCGAGTTGCCCCTCTTCTGGTGGCTTTTCAGCTGATTTTGTGGCTACATTTCTTTCACTCGGTCCAGATACCCAATTCCTCAAGGATCTCTGCTGTCTAGCCCTCTGACGCCAAATGTTTGGACCTAATTTCCGCAGTGATCTTGGCTAAATCGCCTTCCGGAGGTCGATGCATCAATTCCTGAAGGGTCTCTGGTAGCTAGCCCTTGTTTGCTGTCTCTTACCTCTATGACTCTACAAGAACCCTTGCTAGCCTGCCCAATTATGGCGATTTGGAAGCCAAAACCGTTTTCCCAAAGAAACTCTGATAGCTTGCCGATCAAAACTTTATCTTCTCTACCACGATCTCAATTTTTCCATTTTGACGGCTCTAAAAAATAAAATGCAGAAAATGAGCCAAAAAGAAAAATAACTTCCTTAATGTTCTCTGCTAGCTGACCCAAAAATGCTGATTTTAAAGACAAGGATTTTAAAGTAAAAATTGAGTCATGCTCACCTGGCAATAAAAATACGGTAGCAGTCCTGAGCATACTGTAGTTTTTAGAATAACTGATGACGATAGGATTATATAAATTTCCGGAAAGGCGTGATTTTTGGTGAGCCTCGTAAAAATCGGGATGCGGGGGGATAACGATCTGCTAGCAATGAGGAGGAGGAGGGCGAGAATGACCGGCGGGAAATTAAGAGCAGCTTTTGGGTGGGGGGAGCTCGTCCTCCTCGCCCAGTGGGATTGTCCTTTTCGGGATGTTTGGGGTCGAAAGCTTAAAGCGAGAAAGAGAGAGAGAGAGAGAGAGAGAGAGAGAGAGAGAGAGAGAGATTGCTGTTAAGCAACCGGTCTCACGGATCTGCCACCTATGCATGAATTTTCTAGTTTTGAAAAATGATGGGGATACGGATTGATGGCACTTCCTGAATGGCTGGAAGGCTACGTACGGCAGAGGGGGTGAACTTCGGCCAGCTAGCAGAGATTATTGGGGAAAAGATTTTGAGAATCTCTCTCTCTCTCTCTCTCTCTCTCTCTCTCTCTTTCTCTTTCTCTAACTCAGCCTCTAGCTATCTATTAGATTTCTCCATCTCTAACTCGGACTCGATTTCTCTCTCTCTCTCGCTCTCTCTCTCTCTTTCTCTCTGTCTCTCTCTAGCTCTCTCGCCTGCTAGCTCTCTATTAGATTTCTCTCTCCTCTCTCTTTCTCTCTCTCTCTCTCTCTCTCTCTCTCTCTCTCTCTCTCTCTCTCTGACCCACACCTTATGTCTCTCTATGTGGATTTAAAGGAATTCAGAAGGCATCGCGAGTTTTTCTTTATTGGTTTGGGACTCCCAACCGAGTTTTTAGGTTCAAGATTTGAAAAGAACCATGAAGCCTGACCTCGTGCATCTATGAGGTGTCGACAAATCCGTTCCGTTGCAAATGACACCTGACAACGGATTTTTCGATTGCTTTAATCCCAAGTTTGGACCAAAATTTTTATGAGCTTCCGGCTAGTTTAAATCTAAAATTCCAGAGTTAAAGGAACCCGGAAGCCTGGACATTGATCTGTCGAGACCAAGTCGACAGAAAAGGTTGATCTTGCGCTCCCTTGGGTCTTTAAACGTTTTTTTGCGCTGAGGTACGGCCAGTCTGCTGCCATACGTCTCAAGCCGGCAGGATGAAATACGGGCCGTCCTGTCCAGGCGCTACATAGACGTGTATTGAGGATCGAACCGGAACCCCCGCGAGCCGGCAGTCTCGGCTCTCGAGTCTAGATATCCACTCCTCCTCTTCCTTTTGGCTCTAGCCTGCGGAAAGAATTAAGAGGCAAAAGCCAGGATCACCCCGCAAAACACGCCGCAGGCGCCGCGGCTAGACTGAAAAAAGTGCGCGCGAATCAGGCTCTTTGTCTCTCTCTCTCCCTCTCTCTCCCTCTCTCTCGCTCTATCTCTCACTCCCTCTCTCTCGCTGCTAGGGGGATTATCGGGATTGTCGCCTCAAGTCTGTGCGGGCAAAAGCAAAAAATTGCCGCCGGCCGGGGATCGAACTTGAGGCCATGCGCTTGCGAAAAAGTGTGAAAAGATGACTCGGCGCATTAATTCCTCAAAAATCTCTGCAAGCCTGTCTGGAACTTGAAACTCTCACGAAAATTCCGCCGACATACATACCTACAAGTCAAATTTTGGAAATTCCGAAAGAATTTCTGCACGCTATCCTTCCAAAAACAAACGTTTAGACAAAATAGGTAAACAAACAAAGCGAAACAAAACAAAAGCAAAAATAAACAAAAAGCGCAGGCCACTCCCTGGCTTCCTAAGGGATCTCTGCCACCTCGCCCCAGACATCTTGTGCGCAGATGAATGCATCAAAATTGAGCTTTAAGGGGGCTCATAAGCAACAGAATCGACTTCTACGATCGACTAGGTCTGGACAACTACGCAATACGCTACACCAAATGACAGTAGGAAATCGTCTATGTCACGATCAAATCGGGGACCTTTTACGAATGGGTCAAAATTTAGGAGAATCGGGGTCTGTTTTCTATGTATTTTGTGGTTTTAAGGCATCTGTCGAGACCCAGTCGAGCAAGGGTTGGTTCTGAGCATGGCATGGTTATATAATCCCTGCAGGCCAGCCTCATTGCTTGAGCTTCTGCAGTGGACTAGCTAGTGAACTAAACCTAGATCCTTGAGAAAAACAGCTTTTTTGCTCCAGTGTTTTTCTGGAAAGCATAATTTTTCCAGAGTGAAAGTCAATGAGTGTGAATTGATGGAAGAGTAGGGTTCTTGACTCCCCCGTCAAGACTCTTGAAAGAAGAGGGGTGAACGGACGAAGGAAAACAAATGACAATCACACGCACATACCGATAGATACCGACACCGCCATTCAATAAGAAAAAATTCGCTAACCATACCCACACACAACGCACAGTTCTGGTGATTTCATGCCAATTTTTCCTTGGATTTACGCTCAAAATAATTGTCTAGAGCGTAGATAAAATTAAGGTACAACGCTTACCATTATTTTTCGTTTAATCTCAAATAAAAATAATTAAAAATTTGTTCAGCTGTTCGCAAAATAGATTTAGCTTTAATTTTACTTTTTGATCGACCCTCGTAATTTTAAAGTTTGCAAAATCAATTAGAGAACTAAATTTTCTATTTTTGTAGCGTTTCCAATAAAAAAAATCCAAAAATGGCATTTTTGTGAAGCCTGAGATTTTGACTGGTTACTACTACTGGTGATACTTATTTTACTTAATTACTCGATACGCCCATGAAAACAGATTACGGTGATCCTTGAAATCGAAATTAAATCAAAGAATTAAGTACAAATTCCTAAAAATAATAAATATTCGATAAATATTTCAAGAAAATCATAGGTATAAATTCCTCTCAATTAAATTTTCAAGAATTACCACAAGTGAGATTTTTCGAACGAATTTTTTTAAGATTCTGTGGCTGACCAAACCCGATTTCCGTGCTAAATTTTGCCTTCCTAATTCCTTTAGGCAAGGAAGGCAACAACAAGTTCCCCCAAGGAACACTAACAGTCTTCTTTCTGTCTATCTTTCCCCTCGAATCATCCCCCACACCCAAAAATAACCGCCGACCTCCCAAACATGTACTTCAAATTTCGGCGCGCCCTAAGAGGGACCGCCTAAGTTGTTGTAAAAAAAGCGAAAGTGGATTTGTGCGTGTGTGTGTTTTAGGGGTAAACACGGCGGAGCTGCTCCAAATCATCTTCATTGTTTTCGGCGAATTTTGACCTTTTTAGCTATTTCACATTTTCCAAATTCATCGATTTTTTAATTTTTTTTTTTTGGGCTTTTGAATATCTTAAAACTAGCTTTTATTTTAATTTTAGATTGCTCTAAAACTTATTTACTCATTGAAATTACTTAGCAGCGTACTTTGTATATTTTAAAACACTTCCGGTTGCTTTTTTGCTCTTTTTACCGATTTACTACATTGTAAATTTTATAAATTTTAGGTGCCAATCAAATTTAAATTTTCAAATTTACGAAACGTTTTATAAGCTTTCTTAAACTTGAATGGATTCTTCAAAAATCCACCCAAAGAATGGGCTGATTTTTCTTATCACCCGCTCGAACGGCCAGGGCGACTTTTAAGGGGCAGTGAAAGGGCGAAAATACGCTAGCGGTGTGGCGTAAAATGGTCAGAACCCAGTCTAAAAAAGTGGATTAAAATCCCGGGCCTCACACTTTTGAGGTTAACCTTAACCAAATAGGGCCAAAGCGTTTTTAGCGGAATAAGAATCCCGAAATTTAACAGATACATCTTGAAGGGGCTAGGAATTCCGGATTACTCAGAGAAAGGCATTTTTTAAAAACATGGCTTGTTGCCAGAACTATAATCTATCAGATTTCTGCCTTCCCAACCCCTTTAAACCCCCGCGATCACCTGTTTTCGGAGTTGTCGCTCGCTTTCAGTTGAGCATGGAGCCTGTATGGGCCCTTATCTACCGATCGGATCTCCTGCTTTGACTCCATTTTCCTCGCCTCTCTCTCTCTATCTCTCTCTCTCACTCTATTTCCATCCCTCTAACCCGCGGGTCCACTTCGAGATTCCCTCACGAGATCTTCCGGCTTCCTCCTCCTCCTCCTTTCCAATCTTCCTCATCTCGACGCTTTTCAAGGATTGTCTACTTGATTTTTGAAACAAACAAGTCATAAAAATTGGTTTTGCCCTTTTTCTGATGAATTTTTATGATTTCCGATGCAGCGTCGATTTCCTGCTCTAGCTATAGTTTTTCAGGAAAAACTTCCGATTCTTAGAAAAATGACGAATTCAGAATACACGGAAGACCACGAGGAGATCGATGGCACCAAAATTGGGTAGGAAATTTGCACTTTAAAGGGACCGCGAAGGCAGGATATTGCCAAATTTGAAGCCAGCTTCCGATACTACTAAACCTTCCAGTTTTTTTTTCAGATACTGCCGCTACGGCCATGGCCCGAATTACATGATGGTCGTGTGCGGAGCTGTAGGTACGTTCATGTTTAGCATCTATTTTAACCGTTTTAAGTTATGTTTTAAAAACGGTTTTATTTTCCAGGCTGCTACGCAAAAGATTGGTCCCAGCAAGCACTGCAACACTTTGACCCGGAAGTCTTCACGATTATTGGCATTGATCCACCAGGGTACGTGGATTTTCCTTAAATGGAAAGAGCCTAACAAGCGTTATAATCGACCCCTCCATCACCTAGGTCGCGACAGCTACGAAACACTCCAAATTACGCTTGCAGAAATATTTCGGAGTTGCCGTTTTTTTGCGAATTCGCCATTTTTGGACAACGCCACATTCTTAGTTAGAAAAAGCTGGTTTTCCGCGTCTCATTTAGAGCTCCTCGTAGCTGTCAAGACCTAGTGAAGATAAGGGCTCGATTTGGACGCTTTCTGGTCCCTTTAAAATAGCATTTTTAGCTACGGCACCTCTCGACCGCCAGACCGCAAGCAGGAAGTGATGCGTTGCAACAAGGACGCTGTATTTTGCGTGAAATTGATGGATGTAAGATTTTTTACCTTACGCGTTATGTAAAAATACAACAAAAAATAAAAAAACTATGATAACAGAAAGTTTCGAAATAGCGCGTTTTAGCGCCTAAACCTGACGCCATTCACGATTGCTGGCTGGAGTGAGGGGTCGAGGACCAGTATTCATGTCGCGGAAATTGCCAGGAATAAGGTGATTTTGTTAGATTTTTTGCTTTTCTAAAATATAATTTTCTAACTTGTTTTGAAATGAATGAAATTACGCTTTGAAAAGTTAGAAAATGCAGCTTAAGAATTTAAAAAATTAAGGAACCTATTAAAATAGAAAATTTTAGGTGGAAAGGGCTATTCTCCTGGCCTGCATCACAAAAATCGATAGTAGAGGGATTCAGATTTATAAAGGTAAGGCTAGCCGTCTCTCTTTCTCTCTCTCTCTCTCTCTCTCTCTCTCTCTCTCTCTAGGCTCTCTCTCTCCCTCTCTCTAGGCTCTCTCGCTCTCACTCTAGGCTCTCTCTCTCACACTATCTCACTCCTGCTCTTTCTCTCTCTCACACTCTCTCTCTCTCTCTCGCTCTCTATCTGTCTATCTATGCTACCTTTTAAGGTCTCCGCAACACTGACCAATGGCTCCCAGCCGAACGTGCCCCGTATCTGAAGCACTACACCAACGAATTTTTCAAGAAACAATGGGCCGACAATTGCGATATGGTCGTTGAGTTCGTTTAGATACTTTTAACGTAGCTGAGAAACGCGACAATCAACCTCTGGATCTAGAGGTCCAGACAGCTATGCGGCGCTCCGAAGTACATGTTTCAATCCGATTTCCCCCGTGTAACCTTTTTGAAATAACGGTGATTTGGAGCGTCGCGTAGCTGTCTAGACCCAATCGATGGAAGGGGTCTTTCTTTGGTCTTTGGCTCCTTAAACAGTATTTTTCAGGGCCTACGATATGCTGGGAGGACGAATGCCGTGTAACGATGTGCTTCCCAGGCTTACCTGCCCGGTTTTGATGCTCAACGGAGCCCAGGACAAATTCTGCGAAGATCCCAAGCAGATTCTGGCCAAGTTGAAGAAGCCGCAGTACGTTTAGTTGAATTGAGAACCTTTTAAAGCTATTGAAGCTCAGAATCGACCCTTGTGGTCGACTAGATCTCGACAACTACGTTAAGTTGCAAATGACATCTTTTATCTGATTTTTCTATAGCCAAAACCTTGGCTCTTCCGGGTATAAAAGCAATTTCAGGCGTCATTTGGAATGTAGCGTAGCTGTCGAGACCTTGCTGAATGAGGGGTCGATTCTGGCGATTTACTACCGTAAAAACCCCTGAACGTCACTCGTTTTCAGATTCGAAATCCACCTGCAAGGCGGCCACGACTTCCCCCAGAAATACCCGAAATGGGTCGCGGAGAAAATCTCGCATTTCGTGAAGGAGACCGCCAGGAAACAAGCATAATTATCTTGATTTTTTGTGATTTTTTGATTGATTTTGCCATTAGAAATGATTTATATAGTCAAAATGGAGATTTGCGAACAATTAAGATGCGCCTTGACGTGTACAGATCCGCAAATAAATAAAAATTCTCCTATCAGGCTTCGCTAAGAAATACAAACCATAAAGGAGAGAGAGAGAGAGAGAGAGAGAGAGAGCGAGGGAGAGCGAGAGAGCGAGAGAGTGAACATGCGAAAATGAGAAAAATACAGAGAGTGAGAGCGCTAGCGTAGGAGAGAGAGGGAGAGAGAGGGAGAGAGAGTGAACAAGCGAAAATGAGAGAAATATAGAGGGTGAGAGCGAAAGCGCAGGAGAGAGAGAGAGAGAGAGAGAGAGAGAGAGAGAGAGAAAGAGAGATGAGCACGAGAGAGATGAGCACGAGAAAGAGAAACAAAATTGCCAGGACCAATTCACGGTCAAGGCAATGGTCCTCGTGTTTAAAGCGACGTTGAAGCGGGAAACTCCACAAAACTTTCTTTTTACTTGTGTATTACGGTAAGACGGTGAATGCCCAGGTATATGTTAAAATCCCGATTATTTTCAAATTCCGCGTCTCCCCACCATCTGTGGGGGTGTGGAAACGAAGGCTTAATTCTGATGCCCAGTCACCCGAATTTTCAGACGCGATAAGAATTCGTAAATGGGGTGAGGGGAACTGGGAGATAGCGCGGGGGTTTTCCGTGAATTTTTCGGGTTTACCGGGGCGTTTCCGGTCGGTTGTACGATGTACGCTACGATACGTAGTCTACGCAAATTTTTCCGGACTTGGCCAAGCGAAAAAACGCCAGGAAGCGGCAAAAACCGCGGCTTTCTCGGCCGCTCGCACCGAGAAGCAGGAGCCCGTGAAGCTCGTCATAGAAAAAGGTGGAAATTTGGATTAAAAAACCCACTAAAGTGATATTTTTGGATCGCCTAGCAAAACGCCGATTTTCCCTTTTTCCTAAGTTGCTTTGAGCAGAGAGGTTATCGATATTTTTGAGGTTCTGCAAGAACTCTTCTCCCACGATGTCCACTGATCGAGCCGCCAGACACAAGTTTAGAAATTTTCGATTTCAACAAAACACACAAAACGGGAGTAAACGAGCACATGCGGGCCCTTCAGAATTTCCTATTGGTGTCACCCCACCGTTTCTTTGCCTCTCTTCGCAACCTGATAAGCCATCGGACGAGTCGCCCAGGGGTTGTTCTGTTTTCACATGCAAAATTGATGCCGTCGGATGGGGGGCAGGGAGGGCCGGATCACCCGAGTCCCCCGAGCCCAGGCTTGATTCAGACAGCTTCATCAAATCAAATTCTTGCAAAACTCTTTTTTTATGATTTTTCTGGAGTGGCCCGGCCCATTCTATTCTATTAAAGTTTATTTTTACGATTGGATAAGCGGAAAAAGAATTTGTTGCGTCTCTACTAATGTAGAATTTACCCCAGGTTGAATTCTTACAGCCTTTACCTTTTGATTTTACCAAACTATTTTCGGTCCGGATCATACCGTAATTTTAGGGAGCTGCCGTGATGGCGAACCCGGAATACAGCGAGCATCTTACTGAGATCAACGGCGAGAAGATTGGGTATTCTCGCTACGGACATGGTCCCATTAATATGCTTACGATTTGCGGGGGAGTTGGTGAGTTTCTAAGCATTCTAAAAGGGACGGGAAAAGCATATCTATTGATTTTTCGCTATGGATTTCCTATGGATTTGACCGCACCCGCGACACGCAACGCGTACGCAGTGCAGCAGTAATCAGAAGGTGTCACAAATCTATAAAGAATCGATGGCCAAAAATCGATAAATCCATAATAGGCATGACTTGCTCGTCCCTTTAAAAAGGCTCAGAAGGCAAATTCTATAGATTTTTGACTGCCTAGTCCCGTTAAAATGCTATTTTCCACTTTCAGGGAGCTACGCAAAGGACTGGCCCCTGACGACGATGGAGCATTTTGACCCCGAACAGTACACCATTATTAGCATCGATCCACCGGGGTAAGTAATATTTTTATGAGTTTTTAAAGGGACTAGAAGGCCCGAGAATCGACCCCTTCCACTTGACTGGGTCTTGACAGCTATGCGACCCTCCAAAAGAAGTTTAGCTGAAGTTGAAGAATTCTTTTTACGATTGTGGCAGACCCTACGTCAAGAGCCAAAAAAAATCAGCCACAAGTGTCATTTGGAGTGTCGCGTAGCTGTCGCGACTCAGCCGGGGAAAGGGGACGAAGATCAGACTTGCTAGCTCCTCTAAATGGCTGATTTTAGCTACGGCAAATCCCGACCGCCAGACCGTGTCCAGAACGTTTTCCGCTGCCAAAAGGATGCTGTCGTCTGCTTGAAGTTGATGAAGGTCTGTAAGTATCGGGCCAATCTTTGCTGGCACCATCCCTTTAAAATGCCCTACCTTCAAGTTTAGCTTCATATTTATAGGACCTCGAGCTCCTCCCGTTCACTTCCGTCGGCTGGAGTGAGGGATCAAGGACGGCGCTTCATCTGGCTGCTTCTGGGCTTCAGAATGTGGGTTTTCAAGGAGAGTTGTTCTTCGCTTTCGCCTCTAAGTACTCATAAAATTTTCTAGTAATTAGAAAGTGGACGTTCGCTAAAACGTACTTTAGGTGGATCGTTGCGTAGCCATGGCCGCCACCACGCGAATCGAGAAGCGAGCTGTTGAGGTGACGAAAGGGATGAAGAATACCGATTTGTGGTTACCTGCTGATCGAGAACCGTATTTGAAGCATTGCACCCCCGAATTTTTCAAGAAGCAATGGGCGGCGATTATGGACACTGCTGAGGAGTAGGTTTTCTGAAAAATTTTAAGCCGATTACGCCACGAAATCGCGTCAAAGTTGTGGATTTTGAATTTTCTGGCCCTTTAAAGGGACTGGAAAGTATGAAATTCGCCCCTCTGCAGCGACTAGGTTTAGACAGCTACGTACCACTCCAATGTACGTTGTCAAGAAACCTCATACTGACGATCTACAAGGGTTAGTTGGAGCGTAACGTAACTATCTAGACCTAAGCGATAGAGGGTGGTCGATACTCGTACTGTCTAGGTCATTTGGAGCGCCTGGCAGCTGTCGAAACCTGGTCGATTAAAGGCGCTGATTTTCGCGCTTTTTAGCCCTTTTAATTCAGATGCTATAACATGCTGGGCGGACGTTTTCCATGTGATGCTCTGCTCCCGAGAATCCATTGCCCTGTACTGCTTCTGAATGGAGGACACGACTGGTTCCACGGAGACCAGAAGGAGATCATGTCCCGGATTAAGGATTGCCGGTGAGTCTCTGTCTGTCTCTCCCGCTCTCTCTTTCTCTCTCTCGCTCTCTTCCCTCCTTTCTCTCTCCCGCTAGCTCTCTCTCTCCCTTTCTCTCTCCCGCTATATCTCTATCTTCCGCTTACTCCCTGTCTCTCTCGCTGTCTGTCTGTTTATCTGTCTATCTCTCTCTGTCTCTCTCTGTCTCTCGCTCACCCTCGCTCTCACGCCCTCTCCCGCTCTCTCTCTCTATCACTCACTCACCCTCTCTCTCTCACACTCAGGCTCGCTCTCTCCCTCTCTCTCTCTCTCTCTCTCTCTCTCTCTCTCTCTCTCCCCTCTCCCTTGTTGTAAAATCTTCACCTGAACCTTCAGAATGGACACCCAGCACCAGGGAGGTCACGATTTCCACCTCAAATACCCGAAATGGACCACCGATCGCATCCAGCGATTCGTCAACGAGACCACCAAAAAGGAGTAGATGACCAACAACAAAAACGCTAGAATTTTGGAATTTGCATAGTTTACCTGGATAAATTATGGAACTTGCAAAAACCGTTCTGCACCCAAGAGACTACGGAACCTTAAAAAACTGCACCTAATTTGCATAACCTGAAAATTGAGTTTGTACCAGTTGAAGAGCTCGAAAATTCCCATTCCCTCCAAATGACGCCCCAAAACTTGGTCGTCATCTTCTTTCTGCTGTTCCCCGTTTGCGCCATGGTGATGTTACGCTAATTTCAAAAACTATGCAAATTAGGGCCTCCTCAACTTCCATTTCCACTTGGCCAACACGGAGGAGGCGCGGAATTTGAGCAGAGGTAATGGAAGAACTTGCAATCTTTCTCCGCATTTCTCTCTCTCTCCCTCTCTCTCGCTCGTTCCATCGCTTTTCAACTTTGAAGAGAGAGGAAGAGCGAAAGACAGAGAGAGAGAGAGGAGAGAGAGAGAGAGAGAGAGAGAAACAGGGATACCTGATTTTTAGTTGTCGAAAAATCGCTGACCGGTTTCCTGGAGAAGCAAAAGGCGCAATTTGAGCTGACCAACGAGACTGCTCGCGACGCGTTCAGCGACATCTACCATTGCCATCTGATGCGGAGGGTATTACTTACCTCAGCTCCGTCAACTCCAACAAGTCCAGGCCCAAACCCGTGCCCCGTCGATGCTCGTCCACATTCCGGCCGGCGCGAGAGGGGATGTGGGTCTGGAAAACGAATTTGGGGTCGTAACTAGCCAAGATTCTTTGAGGAATTGCTAGGGATGGAGGGGCAGGCTAGCAGAGATTCTTTGAGGAATTGGAGGGGCGGAGGAGGCAGGCTAGCTGAGATTCTTTGAGGAATTGGAGGGGATGGAGGGGGCAGGCTAGCAGAGATTCTTTGAGGAATTGGAGGGGATGGAGGGGGCAGGCTAGCAGAGATTCTTTGAGGAATTGGAGGGGATGGAGGGGGAAGGCTAGCAGAGATTCTTTGAGGAATTGGGGGGATGGAGGGGGCAGGCTAGCAGAGATTCTTTGAGGAATTGGCGGGGCGGAGGAGGCAGGCTAGCTGAGATTCTTTGAGGAATTCCAGGCGCAACTCTGTAACCCGACCATCTACGGCTCGATGCGTTTGGTGGCGCAGCTCCACGGAAACCTCAAAGACGGCAGCTGGCAGATCGAGGTGCAGTCGCCGTGCGGGCGCATTTTCTATCAGGTGAGGAGGGTAGGGCACTGCGCGACGCCACGCAGTACGCCACGCATCACGCGCCGCGACACGCAACGCGGCATTCAACGCGTTTGAGCCGTTTTCTTCATTTTGCGCTCAAATTCCGCTTATTTCCAGGCCCCGATCAGCGACGTCGTGGAGCTGCTCTACTACTCGGTGCTGCTCGACGACAACTGCAAGCAGTCCACGTCAGTCTGCATTTTTTTAGGTTTTTAAAGGACCTCGCAAGGCATATCCATCTCCTCCTGGTCGGTGTCTTATCTTCATTCGCTTTTTAACCCCGAAAACCTCTGATTTTACAGGTACAACGTGAACAGCCTGAAGACGATCGGCCGCGCGAAGATGGACGTCGACCATCGGAAGGCCATCGTCCTCGCCCACTACGATAGCCGCGTGTTTTCGGTAGGCAGGGGGTACAGTAGATGGGTCAGGGCTTAGGGAGATTCAGGGTAAGGGGTTCCTCAAGCGTCATGCTAGTTGGTCCCCTGCTGCCCCGATTCACAAATGCTATCTGCTAGCCTGCACTCGAAACCTAATTTTTTTTCAGTTCCTGAACTCGATGTGGCTGCTCCCGTTCTCGGTCTACATCGTGCTCGAGCTGTGCTCCCTGAATTGGGATCTCGTGCGCAAGTACCGCTACGCCGGCTTCAAGCGCATCCACTGGGACCCGCAGCTGCTGGTAGGTGCCAAAAATTTCTGCTAGCCTGCCCCCTCCATTCCCAAATGATCTATGCTAGCCTGCTTCTCCGATTCCTCAAAGGATCTCTGCTAGTCTGCCCCTCCATGCCCTCCAATTCCTCAAAGAATCTCTGCTAGCCTGCCCCCTCCACCCCCTCCAATTCCTCAAAGAATCTCTGCTAGCCTGCCCCCTCCACCCCCTCCAATTCCTCAAAGAATCTCTGCTAGCCTGCCCCCCTCCATCCACTCCATTCCTCAAAGAATCTCTGCTAGCCTGCCCCCCTCCATCCACTCCAATTCCTCAAAGAATCTCTGCTAGCCTGCCCCCTCCATCCACTCCAATTCCTCAAAGAATCTCTGCTAGCCTGCCCCCTCCATCCACTCCAATTCCTCAAAGAATCTCTGCTAGCCTGCCCCCTCCACCCCTCCAATTCCTCAAAGAATCTCTGCTAGCCTGCCCCTCCACCCCCTCCAATTCCTCAAAGAATCTCTGCTAGCCTGCCCCCCTCCATCCACTCCATTCCTCAAAGAATCTCTGCTAGCCTGCCCCCCTCCATCCACTCCAATTCCTCAAAGAATCTCTGCTAGCCTGCCCCCTCCACCCCCCCAATTCCTCAAAAGAATCTCTGCTAGCCTGCCCCCTCCACCCCCTCCAATTCCTCAAAGAATCTCTGCTAGCCTGCCCCCCTCCATCCACTCCATTCCTCAAAGGATCTCTGCTAGTCTGCCCCTCCATGCCCTCCAATTCCTCAAAGAATCTCTGCTAGCCTGCCCCCTCCATCCACTCCAATTCCTCAAAGAATCTCTGCTAGCCTGCCCCCTCCATCCACTCCAATTCCTCAAAGAATCTCTGCTAGCCTGCCCCCTCCACCCCCTCCAATTCCTCAAAGAATCTCTGCTAGCCTGCCCCTCCACCCCCTCCAATTCCTCAAAGAATCTCTGCTAGCCTGCCCCCCTCCATCCACTCCATTCCTCAAAGAATCTCTGCTAGCCTGCCCCCCTCCATCCACTCCAATTCCTCAAAGAATCTCTGCTAGCCTGCCCCCTCCATCCCCTCCAATTCCTTAAAGAACCTCTGCTAGCATGCCGCTCTGATTCCGCAAAGATCTTTGCTAGCTAGCCCATTTTCGCTCTAACCTACTTTCAAGAAATTCTCCACTTTCCAGCAAACGATCACTGGCAGCGACCGTCTCCTGGAGGCGGGTCCCACATCGTACTACTCGGTTCCGATGGGCCACCGTACCCTTGGCACTGATGATACCACCCGTTCCGTGGCACAACACGATGACGATCATCACAGCACGACCACCACCAGCCAGGGCAACCCCCACACCCATTCCCATAGCTCCGAATAGCAATTGTGATGGTGTACTGTAGCCTGGAGTGTCCCGTACTGTGCTGTACTGCACTTTCTTTCTCCATTTCCTTGAGCTTTTTCCCTTTCGGATTTGTGTGGCTGTCGAGTTGGTTGTGAATAAACAATGGCAACAACAATTTTTGTTTTTTTTGGAGGTTTAAGGGGACTGGGAAGTCAACGTTTTCGAGCTTTTTGTGTTTTTTGTAGTTTTGCCATTAAATATTTCCGGTTGCATTATTCTCATGGGCTTTTCGAGGCCTACTTGGGCATATGGGGCAAGCTAGCAAAGGTCAGTGAGGAGAAAGGAGCAGAGCGGGCAGAAGCAGGGCAGGCTAGCAGAGATTTTGTTGAGGAATCCCGGCAGATAGACTGGAGAAGAAACCTAGGCTAGCAAACATCTTTTAGCAAGCTGGTAGCTAGCTGGCAGTGATTCATGTGGAGCCGAAAACGTCGGCTAGCCGCTACGGTAAGACTCCAGTCACCCCCTCCCCCCCAGCCGGCCGCCCAACTTTTTGTATCTCGGCTCCCTGTTCATCTACACTGGTCCGCATAATTATGGAGCCACCCACAATTTTCCGAAAATCTCAATTTCTGGCGGCTTACGTGAAACACTTTCTATTAGTGAAAGAAGCCGTATACCATCACAACTTTACACAACAAGTCCGTTTTTTGATTCGAGGACACAAAAAATTTTAACGAAAACTTTCGCCTAAAACGCTCTTTGGAAAAAACGCATAATTATGGAGCCACTCGAGTTCTTCACTTATTCTTTTTTCGTTATCCACACAACCATACTGTTTTCTTTTTTAACGTAATTAATGGATTATTGTTTTGCTGGATGGCACGCGGGAAAGCCTTATCCGACTTTGAAAAGGGTCAAATTGATGCGAAATTGACACAGGGCCTGTCGCATCGACAAATCGCTCCGGGTATGGGCGGAGGCCACAAAATTATCGAAAATTTCGCCAAAGATCCAACTGGATATGGAAAAGCAGTACACCCAGGCCACACCCACTCCTTTCCGATCGTCAAAACCGACGCATAATTCGAAAGGCATTCAACCAAATCACGGCCGCTACCCGAATTAAAGCCGATTTGAAGCCGGATTTCTCGACAGAAACCATCCGAAGCATGTTTTCGAAGAGGAACTTCATCAACTGGAGGAGCATGAAGAAAGCTCCGATGCTCGACCAATGCCATCGCCAAGATCGTGTCGGAATTGTTCGGCGGAATCAGCGGACAGACAGGTGCAAAGTAAGCGTTCTTTAAAAGGCTCAAAAGCTCTTCAATTAATTTTTCCCGACGAGAAGAAGTTTAAATGTGATGACCCAGACGTGTTCCGCCACTAATGGCACGATTTGCAAAAAGACCAGCTCCGGTTTGCCCGACGCAACTTTCGAGTTGGTAGCGTCGTGCTGTGTGCAGCCATTTCTTCAGAAGGACGAGTCAAATTGTGCTTCGTCTCTCATAAAATGAACCAAGTGGACTACCGACAAGCGTTGCGATGGGGAATTCTGCCATTTTGGCGAAGAAATCGGATCCGAAGGTTCATTTTTCTGCAAGATGACGTCCCTCATTCGAACTCAGGACTGGTGTCGACACCGAGTAATCGAGCTCCTGGCCTGGCCAACCTGTTCCTCTGCTCTGAACATCATTGAAAACGTTTCGGGGTCCATGGTACGCAAGATTTACCATGGAAACAAGACTTATCGGTACGTAGGCCAGCCCAATAAGGCCATAATCGACGCGTGGCATCAAGTCGACCAAAACCTGCTCGCTAACCTCTATCTGAGCATCGACAACAGTCTTTTCCAGTTGGTACAAGGAAATGAAGCCGCCACCGGTTCTTGGAATTTTTTTTCAGCGATTTCTTATCGATTTTCCATGTTTTACAAAAAAATTTTCCTGAGTGGCTCCATAATTATGCGTTTTTTCCAAAGAGCGTTTTAGGCGAAAGTTTTCGTTAAAATTTTTTGTGTCCTCGAATAAAAAAACGGACTTGTTGTGTAAAGTTGTGATGGTATACGGCTTCTTTCACTAATAGAAAGTGTTCACGTAAGCCGCCAGAAATTGAGATTTTCGGAAAATTGTGGGTGGCTCCATAATTATGCGGACCAGTGTACAGGTGTGTAAACTATACCAAAATACTCGCCAGCGCAAGACGAACAGTTTGGTATACTTTACACACCTGTAGATGAACAGGGAGCCGAGATACGCGAGGCGGGGGTCGGCTGGGGGGGTTCTGGAGTTCAGCCGCCGCTACATTTAAGGAAGTAAAGGATTCTTCAGGATTTGGTTGGCAAGCTAGCAGAGGATTATGAGGAATTGAGATGCAAGCTAGCAGAGAAATCTGCGGAAGTGACGGCAGCCGAGAGAGATTCCCAAAGAATTTAGAGCCACGCTGATGCGCAGGGATTTTTGCCCAACTCAAGGCAACGTAGCTGAGATTCTTGGAAATCGATCGACATGCTAGCAGAGATTCTTGGTACGTACTCTCAAAGATGTTGATGGCAGGCTAGCAGAGATTCTTGAGGAAACGCTAGGCAAGCTAGCAGTAATTTTTAGGGAATTCCGCGGCATGGCAGCAGAGACTTTTTAAACTGACGGCAGGCTAGCAAAGCTTTTTTGCGAGGGGCTTTAGCTAGCAGAGAATATTGTGGAAATGACATGCAGACAAGGCAGGCTAGCAAATAACATTGAGGAATCCACTCACCAAATTGTTAAATATTTATTAAAATTGCGGAAAGATATGTATTTTTGTATATTTACATGCAAAAGAACAGCAATTTTCAAGCGTAAATGCATCGGGTTTTTGGGCACTGGGGTGCAAAATGGTGAACTGCAAAATTCGAGGGTAATTCATACAAATCGGAATAATTTACATAATTGTTCTAGCGGCGCATGATATAGCGATATTGCAAAGAATCAGAAAATTTTTTGAAACATTTAGAAATCGACAAAACGCCGACAATACGGGTCAACGTATTCGAGGGGGCTGTAGCGCTGGGGGAGCTTTTGGAGGATGACGGACAGGCGTCGGCCGTACTTTTCCGGGTTACGGTACCGCTCAGGATTGTCGACGAAAGTAGTCCATGTCTTTCGACTCGAGGAAGTACGTCTTTTGCACGCCTTTTCCCTGAAAAAAGTAATATTTAAATCATGGCTTGAGATTTTCGATGCGTCGAATCATCACAATATCTCTCGCACTCTCTCTCTCTCTCTCCGTTTCTATTCTTACGCCCAATTTCTTTTCCAATTTCCTCAAGAACCACTGCCAGCCTGCCCCGCCTACCTTGATCTCCATCTCGTGTCGATACGTAACGACGAATTCGGGGTATTCTTGGTGTAGCAGATCCTTGGCTGCTTGTGAGATCTGGATCTTCTCGGGTTCACCGGTGCTTTCCATCCGGGAGGCCATGTTTACCTAAAAAAAGAAACATTTTTTGGGTTTCCTCAAAGAACCTCTGCTAACCTGCACCTTCCATTCCCTCCAATTCCTCAAAGAATCTCTGCTAGCCTGCCCCCTCCATCCCCTCCAATTCCTCAAAGAATCTCTGCTAGCCTGCCCCCTCCATCCCCTCCAATTCCTCAAAGAATCTGTGCTAGCCTGCCCCCTCCATCCCCTCCAATTCCTCAAAGAATCTCTGCTAGCCTGCCCCCTCCATCCCCTCCAATTCCTCAAAGAATCTGTGCTAGTCTGCCCCCTCCATCCCCTCCAATTCCTCAAAGAATCTCTGCTAGCCTGCCCCCTCCATCCCTCCAATTCCTCAAAGAATCTCTGCTAGCCTGCCCCCTCCATCCCCTCCAATTCCTCAAAGAATCTCTGCTAGCCTGCCCCCTCCATCCCCTCCAATTCCTCAAAGAATCTCTGCTAGCCTGCCCCTCCATCCCCTCCAATTCCTCAAAGAATCTCTGCTAGCCTGCCCCCTCCATCCCCTCCAATTCCTTAAAGAATCTCTGCTAGCCTGCCCCCTCCATCCCTCCAATTCCTCAAAGAATCTCTGCTAGCCTGCCCCCTCCATCCCCTCAATTCCTCAAAGAATCTCTGCTAGCCTGCCCCCTCCATCCCCTCCAATTCTTCAAAGAATCTCTGCTAGCCTGCCCCCTCCATCCCCTCCAATTCCTCAAAGAATCTCTGCTAGCCTGCCCCCTCCATCCCCTCCAATTCCTCAAAGAATCTCTGCTAGCCTGCCCCCTCCATCCCCTCCAATTCCTCAAAGAATCTCTGCTAGCCTGCCCCCTCCATCCCCTCCAATTCCTCAAAGAATCTCTGCTAGCCTGCCCCCTCCATCCCCTCCAATTCCGCAAAGAATCTCTGCTAGCGTGCCTTTCTATTTTACGCTTCTCTTACCGTATCTCCAAACAAGCAGTAGCGCGGCGCGTTCAGCCCAACGACAGCCGCGGCGACGGAGCCAGTGTGGAAGCCGAGACGACAGCGGAGACGTTGACCCTTGCGGTGGGGGACCTCGTAGTCAGCCAAGAACTGGAAGAAGTTCAAGTTAGTCCCTCTCTCTTTATCTCTCTCTCTCGCTCTCTCTCCCTCTCTCTCTCTCTTTATCTCTCACCTTCATAATCTCCAACGAAATGTCAGCAATGTGCGCAATATGGCGTTTTCCGTTTTCTTCCGGCACCCCCGACACGACCATGTACGCGTCGCCGATCGTCTCTACCTGGAAAAACATCATAACATTTTGCGATGAAAGTTGTGGAAGGCATTGCCTAGTACCATCTACAGTAAACCTTGAAAAAACGCTTAAATTTCCAACCTTGTAAGCCTCGTGCTTGTTGATGACGGCGTCAAAGCCAGAGTAGACGGAGTTCAGCATGTTCACCACCTCCAGCGGGGTAGATGAGGAGCACATCTTCGTGAAGCCGACCTAGGATTTCGGCGTAATTTGTTGCACTTTGTGGCGTTTAAAGAACGACCCAAAAAACACCGTACCACGTCCGAGAAGAGTACGGTAGCCGTGGCGTAACTTTTTGGGGGGACTCCACGTCCGGCTTTAAGTTCAGCTGCGACGTATCTGCAAAAATGAGGTTAGCGGGAGAGAGAGAGAGAGAGAGAGAGAGAGAGAGAGAGTGAAGGGGAGAGACAGATCGATAGAGAGTGCGATAGAGCGAGAGACAGAGAGCGAGGGAGAGAGAGAGAGTGGGAGAGTGAGAGAGGGAGCGAAAGAGAGAGAGGGCGCCAGAGAGAGAGATATAGAGAGACACAGCGAGAGAGTGAGAGAGAGGGAGAGAAAGAGAGAGCGCCGGTGAGAGAGAGATACAAAGAGACACAGCGAGATAGCGAGAGAGAGAGAGCTAGAGAAAGTGAGCGAGAGAGAGACAGAAATAGAAAGAGCGAGAGATAGAGAAAGAGACTCACTTTGGCAGCAACTGTGACAGCAATCGATCTGCCTTCTGATTCGCTTCCTCTAACATTCCAGTTCTCTCAGCCACCAGCTTCTCCAGATTATTGGCATACTCCTCCATCATCCTCATCATCGAGTCGACGAGACTTCCCTTACTAAAATGGAGAGCATGCATGGGTACCGTATTTCCGCTAATATTGCCCCCGTCAAAAGTGTGATAAATGTGACTAGTTGCAGATGGTTGGAGGCAAGCCAGCAGAGATTCTTGAGGAAAATTTTTGGTTTTCTCCAAGAACCTCTGCTATTTTGAGTAAGGCGACCGGCAGGCTAGCAGATATTTTTGAGGAACGTGGATTTCTCCAAGAATCGCTGCTAGCTTGCCTGATTCTCGGATCAATGGCATGCTAGCAGAGATTTCTGAGGAAAACTAAGGCTTCCAAAGGGATCGCTGCTAACCTGTCAGAGCTGAATGAAAGCAGCCTAGAAGAAATTCTTTAAGAATTGCTAAAAATCTGTAAACCGTTATCCTAGTTTTTGAAAATTATAGGCAAACTATCAGGGTTTTTGCGACTCCTTAACATCTGGTTTTGTAGTCATTTCGCAAATTTTTCGTGAAAGGAGGGGGTCGGAATTTTGGGGGAAATACGGTAGTTCATTTTCTCTTTTTTTAATCGATTCAAACGTTACTGTATCCATCCGCCATGAGCCTGGCTGACTCTAAGTTAGGGGACTGTAACCCGGAAGGTGCGAAAAAACCGACGTTTTCAGGTAGGATTCCGTGGACAGGCGAACGCGTCGAATCGTTGGTCGAACTTCCGGCGTGTCGCTCCAGCAGTCCTAAAGGCGTACATTTTTTAAAATCGAACGTTTCAAATGCTGAGGCTCCATAATGTTTTTGGTTTTAACGTGACCCGGAAGTCTGAAAATAAACGCTCGCCTCAACTACACTGCCGGTCATAATTTTGGCTCCACCCAAATTTTTGCGATTTTCTCGCATGATAGCAGAGCATTCTGGACGCGCCTCAAGGATAGTGTTTGTCAAAGAGGCTGTAAACTGGATTTAGAAGGAAATCTCCCAAAAAAATTTAATTTTTTCGAAAATGGAATTTTTGTAAAATTTCGCTGCTGGCAAGTGGTCATAATTTTGGCTCCACCTCGGAAAACTCAAAAATAAAAAAAATTTCAAATGATTCTCAGGGCAGTTTTCTAAGGAAAGGGGCACCTGAGTGCCAAGGGATCTGCGAACACCGATTCCCAATGCCCTGAATCCGGTTATGGATGAGCATCTGGCCGAAACTCTCCCATCTCTCGAAGTGAGCTTTCTTAGTGCATTTTCCCCCTGGGTAGAGGTTGTTTTTAGCACAAAGCGTTGCCAACGTGTAGCCCTAACTGCATTTTGATGAGTTAGAGGCCGCGGATTGAGCCGCCGCTCGAAAAATCGGATTTTGTGACATCGAATTTTCGATTTTGATCGTTGGCATCCACGAATTTCGGCCTAACTTGCTTTAAAGCAAAGTTCATGCTCAGATTTTGCCGGAGACAGCACCGGGGCCGCTGTTCGGAGGTGTACTCGTACTGATCGGGCTTCATCGGCTTGGAGGCGGAGCTCAGCAGATCCGCCGTGGAGCGAATTGATCGAGCTGAGGAAGGATCCATCCGACACGCTTCATTCCTTAAAGCTTCGTGGCTAGAAGTTCATCGGGATGAAGCTGTTGGCTTGTGGTTGGACTGTGATCACCTCAAGGGAGCAAAATTTGCGTTTCTTACGACCAAATCCTAAGGGGCGATTTGTGACGGCCTCAGCTTCGTCTTGCTCAACTGGAAAGATCAAGCTGAGCTCCAGCCAGCTCCAGCTCCAAGCCGATGAAGCCCGATCAGTACGAGTACACCTCCGAACAGTGGCCCCGGTGCTGTCTCCGGCAAAATCTGAGCATGAACTTTGCTTTAAAGCAAGTTAGGCCGAAATTCGTGGATGCCAACGATCAAAATCGAAAATTCGATGTCACAAAATCCGATTTTTTGAGCGGCGGCTCAATCCGCGGCCTCTAGCTCATCAAAATGCAGTTAGGGCTACACGTTGGCAACGCTTTGTGCTAAAAACAACCTCTACCCAGGGGGAAAATGCACTAAGAAAGCTCACTTCGAGAGATGGGAGAGTTTCGGCCAGATGCTCATCCATAACCGGATTCAGGGCATTGGGAATCGGTGTTCGCAGATCCCTTGGCACTCAGGTGCCCCTTTCCTTAGAAAACTGCCCTGAGAATCTTTGAAATTTTTTTATTTTTGAGTTTTCCGAGGTGGAGCCAAAATTATGACCACTTGCCAGAAGCGAAATTCTACAAAAATTCCATTTTCGAAAAAATTAAATTTTTTTTGGGAGATTTCCTTCTAAATCCAGTTTACAGCCTCTTTGACAAACCCTATCCTTGAGGCGCGTCCAGAATGCTCTGCTATCATGCGAGAAAATCGCAAAAATTTGGGTGGAGCCAAAATTATGACCGGCAGTGTAGGTCTAGACAACCACAAAGGACCGTTTTGAACGTAGTGAAAAGCGATGGAAGAAACTCTCTCCTTTGATTAGGTCTGGATAACAACACCGAGATGTTTTGAAGGTATTGGCAAGCCTCAGAATCGGTTTACTTTTCATACACTAGGTCGACAGCGACGCAGCTCGCCAAATGCCGAGCGCATAGTTTTATTTTTTTGCCTCCCAAAACGCGTCAATTGGACGATCGTGGAATTGTCTAGACCTAGCCGAAGTAAGGGGTCGAACTTTCGCACTTTTTTTGGCACTCAAAAGAAGAATGAAAGCCCGAATTGTGAAAACATGACTTCACTAATTTTTCCGGGCATCTTTGGTTTTATAAAAGTTCCAAACTTTGATGAGACGCTACACGCAAAAATTCTCTGTCTTCCCTACCTGTAGCAAGGCTAGCAGATCCGGATGAATTTGAGCCCCAGAATGGACGGACGGGCGGGCCACCTTTTCGCCGAGCATCGCCTTGTCGGCAATTTCTAAATGCTTGCGATATCAAAACCACGCTGTAAAACTGAATACCATCGAGGTCAACCTTGTTGCTGAAGGGGAACATTCGGAAGAGGATCTCGTAGATGACAATGCCGAACGCGTAGATGTCGGCGGCACGGCGGCGTTCGAACGTTTGCTCCACCCATTTCTGCAGAAAAAAATGGATAAAATTGGGTTTTTGGGTAATGTTTTGGAATTGGAAATTTTAGAAAAGCAGCGCCAAGGATTTTATAATTTTTAATGGCGTAATCGAATGAAATTTAGAAAATAGCTACAAAAATTCTATCTCTCTCACTCTCTCTTGCTCTCTTGCTATCTCTCTCTCTCTCTCTGTCTCTCTCTCTCTCTCTCTCTTTCACTCACTCTAGCTTTCGCTCTCTCTCTCTCTCTTTTTCTCGCTCTTTCATTCCCTAATCGAAAAATCAAGAAAAAATCTTATACGTTCTATCGAAAAGCCGGTTTCCGTCCTTATGGGATCCTGAAATTAGCCAAATTTTTTCATATACTGCTGCCGGCATAATTACTCACGTGGTGTCGCTCAATCTTTACCTGATCCATACGTCGTTTCTTGTTTTTGTCGTTTTGCATCCGGATATCCGGGGCAACGTATAGCACGCCTGAAAATGGAGGATAGAGTGAGAGAGAAAGAGAGAGAGAGAGAGAGAGAGAGAGAGAGAGAGAGAGAAATCCTTACCCATTTTCTGCCAAGCTCCACTCTTCTCCTCCCCATCCTTCAGGCTCTCCAACTCGATGGAGCCGTGCTTCTCCCAGCGGCTTATCGCGTCATTAATGCCTGAAAGTTATTGAAATATATTTAGCACATTAAAGGGCCTATTTCCAGAACTTAATTTAAAGAAATTTAAATCTATTTTTAGACACGTCGCAGGGGGTCGTTGCGCGCAACGCGACCGCAACGTGTCGAAAAAATCTTACGGGCTGCTTCGCCAGAAAACTTGGGGCATGTACAGCCCTAAATCATTCCCAACCTACCGTAATCTGTGAGCTTCACCAGCCAATTTCTGTCAATCAGGGTAGACCACGTTGTCAACGACCCGTGGAACCCAATGTTCGACGTGTGCAAATATTCCAGACCCTAAAAAATGTTTTAAAGGGGCAGTGAAGGCAAAAATTGGGCCGAAAGACGGCTGGCTTGACCCGAAAACGTACCAGCGTAATATCGCGGACAAAAGCCCCGTGGAATTTCCCGTCCAGCACGAAGTTCTCGTTGTAGATGAGGTCCTGGAGGGTACCGCGGGAGCAGAATTTCCAGAGGAGCAGGAGCTCGTTCTTCTCATTAAACGTCATGCCGAGGAAGGGGTTCAGGTTGTCGTGGACGGCTTGTTTCATCTGGGAATTGAAAGTACTCTCTCTCACTCGCTCTCGCTCTCTCTATCTATCTTTCTCTCACACCGTCTCGCACCGTCACTCTAAAGCCTTCGATCTCGTTCTCACTCTCTCTATCGCGATTGCTCTCTTGCTCTCTCTCGCGCTCCCTCTCTCCCTCTCGCTCTTTCTATCTCTCACTCTCTCTCTTTTTCTTTCTTTCTTTCGCTCTCTCCCTCCCCCCCCTCTCTCTCTCTCTCTCTCTCTCTCCCTATCTCTCTCTCTCTCTCTCTCTCTCTCCACTCACCCTCATCAGCAGCACCAAGTCCTGCCTCCCAAACTTGATCTGTCTATTCTGCTGATACATATGGTAGGTGGCATGCGTATTGACTCCAATAATCGCGTGATGCTTCACCATACTGCTGCCCATATTCGAGAGTTTTGTGCGCTGGGACCCGAGGGATAACTGAAAGAAGGAAATTTGGGTAAAAGCCTTCTCAAAATCGGAACAAAAACGACTTTTTCAGTATCGTACCATCGATTTGACTTCATCCTCGTTCACTATTCTCATATCATCACGGAAGATGCGCCACGGCATATTGTTTAGGGCTCGGCTCTCGCTGAAAATGACAGATTTTGAAGTCGAAATTTGGATTCTGCAAGTCAAGAGACTAAATGCTTACCAATGCCTCTTCAGCAGAAATGCCGAAATGACGGCGGAGATCAGGGCGAGGGTGGCTGCTGCACAGACGATGATCAGGGTGTAGTCGCATCTGGAAAATTATATGGTGTAATGGGATCGTGATCGTTTCTCAAAGTTTCTCTGCTGGCTACCACGCTAATTTCGGTTGATTCCCCAAATGATCTCTGCTAGTTGCCATTCCCTTTCATGATGAGCCCCTAAAGAATCTTTGCGAGCTTGCCTTTGCGTTTAGAAATTTTTAGGTCAAGATACCTCCGCTAGCCTGCCATGATAGTTAGTCCAGAAGACTCCTAAATGATCGCTGCTAGCTTGCCTTATCCTTAGAAAATTTTTCCCAAAGTTTCTGTGCTAGTTTGCCGCTCCATCGAAATTTCAAGAGTTCCTAAATGCTCTCTGCCAGCATCCCACGCCTTTCCAAGCTTGATTCCCGAAAATCTCGGCTAGTTTGCCCGCCCCATCGAAATTCCAAGGGTTCCTAAATGCTCTCTGCTAGCTTGCCTATCTGGTTGGTCGATGTGGTACTAAATAATTTCCGCTAACCTGCCCACCAGCTTGTGATTCCTCAGGAGTCTCTGCTAATTTGCCCGCTCCAATGACTTTTCATCGGTTTCCCAATGATCTCTGCGAATTGTCCCTTCATATCATCCGGCAGCTTTCAAAGAATCTCTGCTAGCTTGCCTTTTCAGCCTGCCATTCTTTCAATCAAAAATGCTCTCTGCTAACCTGCCAGCTTCCCAAAAAGAACTCACTTTTCCCCTCGGAACCCACAGGCCGGCTCATCAATCGGCATTTGTCCTCCGACGGAATTCCAGAACCCAGACTGCACATCCGATACTTGCTGAAAAACACAGAAATTATAAATCCCAAATCTTTAAAAGAATTTTTATCCTTAATTAGTGCGCCCAGGGTGCTGTTTTTGCCGAAAATTGGACCATTCGCATCGTTTTCTGATATGTTACAGTCTGGCAAAAGGTGGCCCAACAGGTTGCGAATTTTTCTGGCGTTACAAAAGTGTCTTTGGAGGGCGACTGCGGTTGTAGTTTGTAGCCGAGCGGACTACTGACGATGTCTACGCAGCCGGGGTTGTCTTCTTCTTTGGAACATTTTGAGGCCGGCATCAGGGAGGGGGTGATGTTGCAGATGGAGAGGACGCGATTACGTTCGGCCGAGACGTAGAAGGCGCTGAAAAATAAAGGGGTTAGACGGGCAAGCGAGCAGAGGTTCTTTGAGGAATTGGAGGGGATGGAGGGGGCAGGCTAGCAGAGATTCTTTGAGGAAACGGCAGCCTAAAGCAACCGATCAGAGAAGGGAGAGAAAGAGAGAGAGAGAGAGAGAGAGAGAGAGAGAGAGACGTACCTATAAAACGGCAACCTCTCCGCCTGGTCATCAAGCAGTACAGTCCCGGATCCACTTCCAGCCACGCTGGCCATCCCCGAGAACGTCATCCTCCTCATCGTATCAAACATCCGCTTCCCGTTGGTGATCTCCGAGAAATTCTTGGTCGCTTCCAACACACGACGCCCGGCAAGCCCAAAAATCTTCATCGAATCGTACAGCGAGATGTAGCCGTAGATGTTTTTCTAGAAAACGCAAATGTCTTTGCCTGGATTTTAGAGCTTCCAAAAGTAGATTCGATTTTTGCTTACCAAATCGATATCCTCAGCTCCGAGCCCAATGGCAGACAATCTCTCCAAAAAGGGTGTCATCAAACGATCGTCAAATCCGTTGACGTCATCGATCTGGAATTTCCCAAATGATCACTTCTGGCCCTCCATCTCCGCCAATTCCTCAAAGAATCTCTGCTAGCCTGCCTCCTCCGTCCCCTCCAATTCCTCAAAGAATATCTGCTAGCCTGCCCCTCAATCCCTTTCAATACGCCAAGCATCTCTGTCAATCCGCTCACCAGAATGCAATTAGCATAATTCTTCTTGACCGAGTCGAGCATGTCGTTTGAAGATCCAACAAATGGAGATGCCCCATTAGCTCCTTCTGCAACTTGGTCTATTCACGAAAAATTGTTTTCATCTATAAATTTTCTGGATGGATCAGCAAATTTAGAAAATTCTTTACATCGCGTCTGACAAGCAAAAAAAAACTGAATCATGAACCGATTACGACACTAAAAATGCAAACATACCTAAACTAAATTTCTTTACTTTATCGATTCCTGCCGTGACCTGATTAAATTTTTTTAAACCAAAATGCTTCAGCTTGCCAAAAGTTAATTAATTCAAAATTATTTGAAGACGACACGAAATTGGTTTATTTTACTAGACTCCTACTCTGCACTGATTCCATATCGTAACCAAAACAATCAGATGAAAATAGCTAATTACCCTGGATTGACGGGAAGACGAAGACGTATTCCGAGGTGGAGAGACCGGACGCTTCCGTAGCCTTTCGGAATTCGGTGGTGAGGTCACGAACCGAGGAGAACAGCGCGATAACGACTAAATGATTACGGTAACTGGGGCTACCCATAGAATTTGATACTTCTGCTGGTCGTCTTGATCTCATCAATCTGGCCGCTGCTGATCATGTCCTGGGCGGTGGCCGTCTCGTCGAAGACGATCTGAAAAAGAATTGGTTTCCTAAATGGCTTTGGCTAGCTTTCCTTTGGCCCAAAATCTCAAAGAATCTCTGCTAGCTCGCCCCGCTTCGTCACCTTAAAGAGCCTCTTCTAGCTTGCTACTTGGTCTCAAAGGTCTCTTGGTCTCTCTGCTAGCTTGCTTTTTGCCTAGACGTCCTAAAAATCTCTGCTAGCTCGCCTTGGCTCAATTTATCAAAGAATCTCTGCTAGTTTGCCCATCAGAGTTTGACCATCTGCTGACCTTCTTGACGACGTTGACGCCCATCCGGCGGAAGACCTTCTCGAAGGCGACAATCTTTTCATACGCTGCCGCCCCAGCATTCGTCACAAAAGCCACTTTTCGCCATTTATAGTGCCGAATGAACGCGCCGGTGGCCTCGGCCTGGGTGTTGATCGTCCGGATTGACACTCTAGAACAAACAGTATTGCAGAAAAGGCGCGTGATACTTCTCGAAGAATCTGCACTAGCTGACCTTGCCAGCGTCTTGTAGATCTTCTTGTCGGCCAACGCGTTCGAGGTGGCCATGTAGGCGATGATCGGCTTGTTCCAATATGCAGCCATCGTAGCCACGGGTACCATTTCTGAAAAAAAACAGGTTTAAAGGGACATGGCAGCGCGACAGTCGACCGCTTCCTGCGACTAGGTCTAGACAACTACCCTTCACTACTGTCGACATGTGCCAATCAGATTTATAAAAGTTGCCAAATTTCATTCCGCCTAAAAACTGACCCGAATTACAGTAGGGCCCCAGGAACGCCATCACTTTGTCGACGTGGTACATGTCGGCCGCCGCGGCCACTCCTTCGAACGCATCACCGCAGCCGTTCTTGTTGATTACTCTAAAAAGGGTTAGGATTTGGTAAATCGAATGAATGCCAAATTATTGTTTCCCCAAAAATCGCTGTTAGCTTACCGAAAAAATATGTGGTATCAAAGAATTTCTAGTCGTTGCTCGTCAATCTGTTCGTTTGTCAATTTCCACAGAAAGCTTTGCTAGCTTGCCGGGCTTTCCATTTTCCACAAAACCCTTCCAATTGCCCCAATTCCATGTTTTCCACCCACACTCGCTGCTGATTTTCCCCGTTTTTGTCAATTTTCCGGAAAGAATGTCTGCCATTTCGCCGGGTTAACGGTATTTCCCGCAAATTATCTTTGCAAGCCTGCCCCATCATGTTCCACAAAAATCTATGCTAGTTTGCCCAATTTCTCTCCTTCGCGTCAGTATCTTGGCTAGCTTGCCCCGCTTTTATAAATTTTTTACAAACGATCTTTGCTAGCTGCCTTCTTCTTCTCATTTTCCATAAAGAGTCTCTGCTCGCCTATCCAGAACCCCATTTTTGAAATTGTCGCGCCCCTTAGAAAGTCATATTTTCCGTAAATGGTCTCTGCTAGTCTGCCCGGTGCCCATTTTGCACAAGGACTCTCTGCTAGCCTGCCACAAAAAGGATTTTAAAAATTGGTGGCGCCCCTTAGAAAAATATTTTCCGCAAAGATTCTCTGCTAGACTGCCCAGATCTCATTTTCCACAAAGAGTCCCTGCTAGCTTGCCCAGAAAAAACATTTTTGAATTATTTTTCTCCTATAGAAAATAATATTTTGCCGACCCCCGTTCCCACCTTGTAGTCTCCATTTAATGGACCGTAATCCTGTATATACAGTATCCCCGTTCCTCCACAAAATCCCGGGTAGACAAATCCCCGTGGCGGGACCCCGGGGGATGAGCTCGGATTACTGTATGGCCCCCGGGGGGAATGGCAGGCTTATCCCTACGGCTCGACAAAATCCTCGAATATCACCACCCACCAATCCAAATCCAAAGCCTCCCCGATGCACTCAGGTTTTATTAAAACGTGACTCATGTTTTCGGATTTTTGGATTACTTGGCTAAAAATTTTATAGAAAATGAATCATTTTCGATAAAAATAATACCAAATCAAGCTTGAAAACCTGATTGTCAAAGCTTTTATGGGTTTTTTAAATAGTCTTCAACTTTTTTTTTCGGAAATTAATGCTCCGGTGAATTAATTGAAGCCGAAAGAGTTTTAGTTGGGCAAAGTAGCGGAGAATCTTTTGGAACGGACATCACGCGGGCAAACTAACAGCGTTTCTTGGGGAAGTTCCGGGGGGAGAGGGAGAGAGACAAAGAGAGTGAGGGAGAGAGAGTGAGCGAGAGCGAGAGAGAGAGAGAACGAGAGCGAGAGAGCGAGGGAGAAAGAACTTCAAATGACTCACTCGACATCAAAATCATCTCCAAACGTCCCGTCGGCTAGCAGCTCTTGTCGGGACAGCTCGAGCACTTTTTCGTAGTTCGGCATCGTGTTGACGGCACCAATATGGCCGATTCGAATCTGGAATTGGGTTGAAATATATGCAGTAAGAAGATTTTCCAAAGATTCTCCCTTTATTTAGCTCTCTCACCTTTGCTCTCTCTCTCTCACTCTCTCTCTCTCTCTCTCTCTCTCTCGCTCTAGCTCACTCTCATGCCCGATCTCTCTTGCTCTTTCTCTCATCTCTCGCACGCTCGCGCTGTCTCTCCCCTTACTCGCCGCTTTCTCACGGACTCTCTCTCTCTTTGCCTCGTTCTGTCTCTCTCTATCTCTCTCCTCTAGTCAACTCCTTGATTTCTCATTAATATTTGCTACAACTGTACCATTTCCCCAATAACCCCTGCCAGCTTGCCCTCCATCCCTGTTTAAGATACATTGAATGCATACCTCCCTACTACCGTAGTCGGCAATCTCGAGAGACCCGGGGGGATATCAGCCATCGCCCTCTCACTGTCTCTCTCCCTCCTCCGGGCCACTTTCCGCTGTTTTAAAGGCACGTTGAAGGCAAATGGCTAGGGTAGGCACTCATCAGACAACAATTAAATTTAGTACCCACCACATTATGGGCGGGCGCAATCTTTGAAGCATTATCCGGGGCTGAGCCGGAATATATCTTATTGTCGACGCCATCCCCATCCGCGGCCAGCCGGCCGGGTGATAGAAGAAGCAGCTGTATGAGGAATATCATGGCCAATTTCCTGAAAATTTTAGCGTTAATATGACGGAAAAAGTATCGTAAAACGGGTTGAAAAGTATTAGAACAATAGTAAAAACTTTGAGACGGAATGGAACCTTTGGAAAAACTTTGGGTACTGTAGCAGTGATCCTTATGGAAATTTTTAAGGGGCCGTACTATCGATTAGACAGCCTAAAAGCCTAGGGTACAACCATTTCAAGGTGCCGTTTCTGCATTAAATGTCGTAATGCTTTGTCAAGCGCCAAATTCAGCGATCACGGTGACTTCCGGGTCAATTTCTTTAGGGAAAACAGCTAAACTGATCCGAATCGCTAAACGATTCCGGAAAACGCATTAGAATTTTCAAATTCAAGCGCTAGCACGCCGAAACAGGGCAAAAAAGCGCGTGTAAAGCAATCGTAAAGTAACGGAATTGTGCGTTTACGACATCAAAGGTATCTGAAATTAAGAAACTACCTACATTGAGCGTTTTAAAGGTGTTTGGGCACAAAAACCAAAGCGATCGGGTCTTTATGTCGGAAAATTTCAGAAATTAGATGATTTAAGGGTATCGAAAAGTCATAAATCAGGCTATTACGTGCCGTAGAGTTCCGGAATTTTGCGTTTACCACATTCAAGTCTCTGAAAAATTAAAAATGCTGTAGATTTGGCGTCTTAAAGGAATCTGGACATCAGAGGATTCAAGGAATCCCGCGTTTTTAGGATGGCTGGACGAAAGGCTTCAAACTTTAAGAAATTAGGCCACTTAGGGGTATATAAACCTTAGAACGGCAAGGCCAGAACAATGCCCAAGTAAATCTGGCGATACCTGATGGCCCCAGAGGGCCCTTAAAAGGGTGGGGCCGCTAATCAGGGGCGGGCGCGGCTGATCCGCCCTCTCTCGGCTCCACTCGGCCAATTGGGTCGGATTATCCGGAAGGGGTTACGGTAGTCTGTCTATCCCATCCCTCACACCCACTCCCCCTCCTCTCTATTTCACAAATCCGAAGAATCAACCCCCCGCAAAATCACCAAATCCCCCCAAAGGCAATAACAGATTTTTGGGCCCGGTAGCGGAGGCATTAATTTCCCCGTGGATCCCGAAGATTACCCGCGCCCATTAGGATTTACCCGAATCAGTCGGATACGGTAAATCCTGGGGGGAAATTGGGTTACGGTGGAATGGGGCGCGAGATAAAGGGGAGAGCTCGGCGGGGCTAGCGATTTGCTATCAGTTTGCCGACGCTTTATGTATCGAAATTGATTTCGCGGGATTTTCAATTTGCGCAAGGTTTGAGACGAATAATCGAGGCGAAAAACGCATTTAAAATCGCTACAAATCGAAGATTCGGCAAAATGACATGATTTACGACAAAACAAAACAAGCCGAGGCTAACAGATACCACTTAGGAAATATCCGACAAGGAAACGCATCTGACCCCCGATCTACAATAATTTTGCTGTGGTGTCTGTCCGTCCGCCCGTGTCAAAACAAATTCAACTCGAAGGGGAAAAGAGCTAGAGCTGGGATGATGGATGATGGATGATGGGAGAGCCTCATGTAAATCTCATAAAGCTCATAAAGCTAATTTTTCGGATGTAAATCATCATTTTCCGGAAGTGCTGTATCTCTGTCCAGAGGCCCATTTAGGAAATTCTGACTAGAGCGTTGGAATCGCGATAGTCGAAAACCTAGGGGTAGCCGCGAGCGTTTTTCGAAACTCCACCGTGCCAACTTGAGGTTCCCTTGTTAGCTTTGAAAGTGGCGCCTTGGTAAAACGAGTGCACGGATGTTTACACGATTTTGGATTTTGGACTTAGTGAGCCAGGGGGCGCGCGGTTCGGCGAAGGGGAGGGAGCGCCGGACGACAGCCCCAGTCTGGTCGATCGGGAGCCGACGTCGCCTGCAGAGATCATTGCGGAAACCGAGCGCGGCCCGCGGTTGATCGGGCTAGCTAGCAGTGACTTCTTGCAGATGCAGAATTCAACCACTGTTCACCATTGTTTTGTTTGGAGCTTCGGATTAACTGATCCAACTCAACCGGATAAGCATTAGGATCCTTTCCACCATCCTCCACCTGACTCACCTTGGTCCATTGTCCTGTAGTCTCCAATATTTCTGCTTATCCATCCGAAGGCCAAAAACACCCGCAGATTATCCGTCGACTGATTGGGGCCGGCCGGATTTTTCGGATAGAAATCCCGATCCGGATCAGCCTAATGGCCCCCCGCATTCTTGGCGGGATGGTTCCCGTTTTAAGAAAACGCAAAAATATTTCTAAAAGGCCAATAAACCGCTTATCTAGACAAGGACAACTAGGCAAAAAAGAATTTCTGCTAGCCTGCCTCTGTCTCTCTCTCTCTCTCTCTTTTTCTGTTTCTCTCTCAGGGTTTTTCACGCTGTGTGTATATCGCTCGACCTTTCCTGTGCCTCCATGTAGTTTTTGTTAACTTTTATTCGACGAAAAGTCGTGATTTGGCGCTCTGGCATGGGATAAGGTATCACACAGGAAACGAGTATTGGGTACGAGTATCATTGAACAATTTTTAATGTTAACGCTGGGGCTATGGGGGCTGGTCGAGTGTTGTCGAGTTGTCGAGTGTTGATTCTTTCATTCGGCCGGAAGTCCGAGGATGGCACGGACGGTGGGGTAACTCTGTAAAATAATAATTCATAACGTTTATGCGTTCGTGCATAAAAACGAATGACGGCCATGAGCTCGACAGCCAAAATACCGACAGCCAAAACCTGATCGTTCCGGGTGGTTTTACCCATAGTTGGTTTTAAGATCTGGGGTTTGGGCTGTCGGTATTATGGCTGTCGGGGTTTCCGACTGTGTCGGCGAAACTCTTACCGGCGACCATCCGTGTTGCACAGCGCGCCGGGTCTTGCACTCCAGGCAGTTGTCCCCTTTGAGCGCTGAAAAATGGCTATTTGTTTTCGGGTACCGGTAACATACTCGAGAACGGGTTGTTGGCGTTTTCGAGGTGCGACGGCTCTTTGGGATCGCAGCGGTGGAGGACTCCTGTCCAACCCCTAGAAGGCAACGGTTTCGGAAAAATCGGCGAAAATCCTAACCGGACCGAGTCCCAGCACTTCCTGCAAAGCTTCAGCGGGCCCCTGGCCATGTAGATGTCGGTGGCGTCACAGCAGATGCAGAGCTCTTCCAGCGTCCTCTCCAACACATCCGTATTCCGCACCAAGAGCCGGCACTCCTGGACGCGAGAGAGTTCCTGCAAATACAATATTAATGACGTATTTAAGTAAGGCTGTTAGCGGGGGGGGGTCCAAATTTTTTGCCACCAATTTTCTGCGGCCATATAACGAATTATAAACTTCTTTGAGTATTTTACGGTAATGTTTACTTTACCCCCCCCCCCCACAGCCGAAGGGTCTCAAAGTTGTCGGTATTTTCGCTTATTTTGTCGGGATTTTTGCAACGCCATTCGATAGAACGTCGAAAAATATACTAAGAGTTTTAATTTGAGCCTACAAGAATGTAACATAAAAAAGTTATAGCCAAAAACTTCCGGTTGGGGGGGGGGGGTAAAGTAAACCGTAGCCTATTTTACATCGTTTTTAGATATAAAACAATTGAGAAATACGAATTTGTTCGAAATATGTAAACAAAATTTGTGGAATTACTAAAATTTTGACTCTTTGGTCCAAAATGTTTGAAGGATAAACTAACAAGATCAAAGATTGTAGCGTTTACAAAAATTTTTAGGCTACTCAAACCTACTTGATTTTTTCCGATCTTGTAGAGGTACGGCGGGCTTGGCTTCCCTCGCAGGTTGCCGGTCAGCAGAGAGATGACACGGTCTCCCTTCTGGAAAGCGACATGTAAATCATGAAAAAAGGATATCGGTCGGCTGCCACGGAAGAGAAACTGCAAAAACGCGGGAATATCTGTACCTGTCACTTTCCCTTTAATTTCTCAAAAACCTGCCCTACCCAGCTACAGTCACTCTCCCTTTAATTGCTCAAAAATTCTCTGCTAGCCTGCCCCACCCAGCTACTGTCACTCTCCCTTTAATTGCTCAAAAATTCTCTGCTAGCCTGCCCCACCCAGCTACTGTCACTCTCCCTTTAATTGCTCAAAAATTCTCTGCTAGCCTGCCCCACCCAGCTACTGTCACTCTCCCTTTAATGCTCAAAAATTCTCTGCTAGCCTGCCCTACCCAGCTACTGTCACTCTCCCTTTAATTGCTCAAAAATTCTCCGCTAGCCTACCCTACCCAATTACTGTCACTCTCCCTTAAATTTCTCAAAAATTCTTTGCTAGCCTGCCCTACCCAGCTTCCCGAAAATTCTCTGCTAGCCTGCCCTACCCAGCTACTGGCACACAGCTACTTCTCCGAAAGCGCCCGGGTAAAATCTAAGACATCTCTCACCTGGATGAAATAGAGAGGTGAATCTTGAAGAATTCGCCCGTCGTAGGCCTCAGCGAGATGGAGGTTGAACGTGCTGGCGATCCGGTAGACATCTGCAAAAACGTTGGATAGCGGGTTTTTTGTCAGACATAAATAGTTAGCACCAGACATGGCAAGTGGCCGCGGCCCGGCCCGGCCGGCCCGGCCGTAGCTACCCATGGCCGGCCGCGGCCGGCCGCATATGAAATTAGCATAAATCCCGGCCACCGCGGCCGTCTCCAAAAAAAGTCTGGCCGGCCGCGGCCGGCCGCGGCTGCACCATGACGAAAATAATGACCTATTTTTAGGATTTCGAGTTGAATTTTACTGATTTGCATGATTTCTGAAAAGGAAAAAGGCAACGAGCAGTTCATTGCAAAAGCCGCGGCCGGCCGCGGCCGGCTGCGGCCCCAGGACGTTTTTGCGGCCCGGCCCGGCTGCGGCCGTGGGTAATTTTTGCGGCTCTGCGGACGGCCCCGGCCGTGAAAAAAATTTGCATGCGGCTTCCGGCCGGCCGCGGCGGCCGTTTTGCCATGTCTGGTTAGCACTAGCGGCCCACCATTCCACTCAATCTCTCTTAAGAAAAAATCCCCCAGATCCCCGATAATGCGAAAGAAGAACTTTCAGCTATATAAGCACCGACGAAGTTTAATAAATTTTCTTGCCCAGAAGTTGGTTAGAGCGTGGGAGCTCAAGAACGACGTAGCGGGTGTTAATGCGCATTAGCCGCTAGAAAACTCACATTCCTCGGGGGTGGGAGCGCGACGCTCGCGATCAGCGCGGGCGGCCTGTTCGAGGAGGCGCCCGCGGTGCTCGATGACCAGCTAAACACAGCAAGTATTTTGCCCACATTAATAGAAGCCCTACCTGCAGGTTGTTCGAGCTCTTCGCGCGGTCGGCAGCTGGCGATGGGCCGCGGGACGGCACTTTCACATCATCCTTGTCGCCTTCAGGGGCCTTGGCGGCCTGTTCGAGGAGGCGCCCGCGGAGCTCGATGACCAGCTAAACACGGCAAGTATTTTGCCCGCACTAATAGAATCGCTACCTCCAGATTGTTTGGGCTCTTCGCGCGGCCAGTAGGTGGTGATCGACTCGCTGCGGCAGCTGCCGCCTTTGCTTCTCAGCCCTTCTCTTCTGTGCCCTCGTTTGCACGCCGGACCGCACCGGGCTTCGTCCACGCGACTTATTGGCAGGCATGTTCTGAAAGTGAATAAATCGTACTGATCACCAGCAATACCAACAGTTGATGGCCGCCAACAGCAGCAGTGCCCAAAAAAGGATTTGCACGACGGCGGGTAGATCTTCCTGAGAGTGACACCGGCTGGAAGAGAGAAAGCAATAATAATCGATTCCCCCGATGCTAATCAAGCGCATTTTAATTTGTATCCAAATTATTTGATGCAATAATTGGCTATTCGTGACTCCTTGAAGGAGAACGCTACTTTAGCTGAGTGGGGGCAAGCCAGCAGAGATTCTTTGAGGAATTGGACGGGATGAAGGGGCAGGCTAGCAGAGATTCTTTGTGGAAAGAAGTGGCGGGATTGGAGGGGCAGGCTAGCAGAGATTCTTTGTGGAAGGAAGTGGCGGGATTGGAGGGGCAGGCTAGCAGAGATTCTTTGTGGAAGGAAGTGGCGGGATTGGAGGGGCAGGCTAGCAGAGATTCTTTGAGGAATTATAGGGGATGGAGGCGGCCGGCTGGCAGAGATTCTTTGACGGTAATTATTGCCGGTTTTCAAGGATGCTTCCGAAGTGCCCTTCTCACACCCACGCATCTCTCCCTCGAGCGTCTCATGTCTTATTCGCCTAGATGTCGTCGAAAGGCGTGTTTTTCGAAGGGTCGTCTCGAATTTCCTGCCATTTCGTGGTCGTCAGATTTTTCGCGGGGATTCTCGCGTCTGAAATCCATCCGCCTTATTCCACGGCAAAACCGCCAATTTGGGGCCCCCGGCTCCGGTTCCACGGGCCCCGATTCTACAGCCCAAAAATTAATTAATACTGCTGGGATTCGGCTTGAAATATTTCATCATCGTGGCTTTACTCATACTCTGGGTTTCAGAGGCCTGGGTTTCGGCTTTGGCTTGGCTTGGCTTCTCTCTCTTTCTCTCTCTCTCACTCTCTCTCTCTCTCTCTCTCTCTCTCTTCTTTTTGAAATCCCAAAATTGCGCTCGTTCGAGAGAACCTACCCTGGGCGCTTTGATGAACGGGGCATAATTAAGCTTGAGAATTTCCGGATGAGTACTAAGGCCGAGCGAAGCAATGCGGGAATTTTGGTCCGCTATCTGCGCGTTTATTGAGCTTGAGATTGCGATATCTCACTCTCTGTCTGTCCCTCGATCTCTCCCTCTCTCTCGCCCCTGTGTCTCTCTCTATCTACATTTCTCTCACTCGCTCTCTCTTTCTGTCATGCGCGCTCTCTTTCTCTCGCTAACTCTCTCGCTAACTCTGTCGCTCTCTCTCGCTCTCTCGCTTTCTCTCTCTCGTCACGTCATTTCCGAGCCGCTTTCAGATAAACGATGGGTCCAATTCCGCTAATCATCACCTTTCTATTGCTCGTCGGGAACGCGGTCTGCGCCGTCGGTCCAAGTAAGTGAGCATGAGAGACAGACAGGGTGAAAGAAACAGACAGAGAGATGGAGACTTGGAGCGCTTGAGGGAGCGAGAGAGAGAGAGAGCGAGAGTGAGAGAGAGCGAGAGAAAGAGAGAGAGAGAGAGAGAGAGAGAGAGAGAGAGCGAGAGAGATGAACCAACAAGCCGACCGAGATCAAGAGAAAATGATAGATCGGTATGCGCCGCACAGGCAAGGGTTCGGGAGGGTGTCATTAGGCGTGTCGCGTAGCTGTTGAGACCTAGTCGACATCAAGGGTCGGTTCCGGCCTTTCGGAGCCCTCCCCACCTGCTCTAAATTCCAGGACACATCCCAGCCATCTCTCGATTCCAATACGAGCGTACTCGCCCCAGCCGCTACCCGATGTCACCGCGATTCCTGCCGGAGGGCGACTGGCGACGTGGGTTCATCACAAAAAGTGAATTCGGCATGCGAGGATGGTGGTTTTAACCTTGAATTTTCCACTGGTTGAAAGGCAGCGGGAAGGCACGAATTTTTAGGGTTTATTGGCCCGATTTTTGGGTGTTAGCCAAATGCGTCAGATTCGCCGGTACGATCGCATTAAAAGCGTCAATCTCGCAATTTTTGGCGGTTCTAGTTCGTTAACGGGGGAGGGGGGCGGCAGGGTGGCAGGGTGGCGTATCGGTTGTCCTGGGATAGCGTTGCCCCCCCCCGCTAATGGAACAGTGAAGCGCTAAAATAGCTCAAGCAAGTTGTTTAAAATGCGCTAATAAGCTTCAAAATTTACCCCTTCTACGTCCTACGTCTCGACAGCTCGATACATCCTTTCCTGTCCTTTTATAAGCCTTATAAACGCGTGATATCGCTGCCAGAATACCTCCACACGTCACTTGAAGCGCAGCGTAGCGACTGTCGAGACCTAGTCGAGGAAAGAAGGGTCGAATCTGAACTGCATGGTGACTTTAAAATACTTAAATAATCGACAAATCGGCTTATTTAAAAATTTCATGGCTTGTACAATATTAATACCGTAGTTTCTTAGCTTTCTTGGCTTCAAATAACGCTGAAAATTACAAATTTTATTTTTCACAGCCGTTTTTAATTTTTTTAATAATTTATGATGATATAGCTTATTCTATCACTGTATATAAACCGGAAATCCTTCAAGTTTAGACTTTTAGAAGGCTTGAAAAGGGTATATTTTTAATTAGACTTTTGCCCATTTTTTAAACTCGGATTTTTGCCTTCTTAACACCTTTATTTATACCTTGAAATCCACAAAAAAATTCTAACATGTCACTTTCCGAAAAACCACTGTTGACGCCTCATGATTTTTCCAAGCTTACCAGCCCCTTTAGAATCGACCTACTCCGGCTACCGGCCCCAATACGGACGCTATCAACTGGCCCCCGACGGCTCGACCGTAATCAGCTCGAGGTGGTGGTGAATATCGAATCAAATTGAATTTATTTAATTTGTATTTATTGTATTATTTTTAAATATGAATTTTCACCCCTATAAACTCGTTAATCTGTTAATCGAATTTCAAGATTAACAACAAATGTACCTTTGTATCTCGATAAGATACCGCGGACAGACTCCCTTTACTCATTGCTCTTTAATGGCAAAATCAAGTCATAAATAGCAATAATTTTTAAAGCTGGCAATTTCCTATCATTTTTGCTTGGTTTTTGGGTATAAAAGAAAAGTGAGGTAATTCGGCAATTTGTAAAATTTTGAGTTTTACTTCAAAACCGCAATAGATAACCAAAAAGTCAAACTTTTCGAAATTCCATGATTCCATGATTTTTTATGACTTTCTTGTAATCCGAAACTACTAGAAATGGCATAAAAATCGGCTTTGCTAGCTAATAGCTATAGGAAAATAAAAGGCATTTTTGAAGGCGAGTCTAAATTGTGAATTGTAAAAAATCGGGAAAAGATTTTACCCGATTATAAAAAGGCTTCACATTTTTCGTCTGTTTTCGAAACTCTTAGGGTCCTGGAAAAGCGCCGGATTTTTTTTGATATCTCGCTTTTTGGGTCGTTATATGGTTGCCTAGCGGGTTGCCAGTGACCCCGGAAATTCCCGGATCGGATAAAGCCTGCCGGCAGAGAGCTGAAAACCCCGATTCGGGCCCCATCTCGAAATGCGGGCTCTGCCCATATTGATATGGCTCTATGCAAGTTGCGGAGTTTCGGGTAAGAATTTTCTTTCAGTCTTTGTGTATGTTTATTCAGGTCAATTTTCACTCTGTGATATCGCCCCATATTTGCCTACATGCTCGACCACAGCCCCCCGCCGGAAACGAGACGACAACGACTCCGAGCAGCACAATAGAAGTACGGGTACTGGACTGTTAGCGGGGGGGGGGAGGTGGTGGCAGGGGAAAACTATTTTTTGTCAGTAATCCCATACGGCCCTATCGCGAAAAATCAACCAGGGTTTAGGATTTTAAACAGTTTGTAGAGTAAAAGACCGTTAAAATTATACCAATTTGTGGCGTTTTGGTCGAAAATGTATGAAAAATGAAAATGAAAATATGAAAATCTACTATCTACTACATATAAATTTCTAATGTCCGTCTGTCCGCCCGACCGACCGGGAATTCAGCCAAATTTTGCATTCAAATTCAAAATTCAAATGGCGGGCGGGGGCGGGGGGCCAGCGCTGGTATGAAAATAGAATAATATGAAAAATGAAAATTTAACAGGGCTTAATACATTGTTTAGTAACTTACTGCGAATTACAAAATGCCAAAAGGCTTTCTAAAAATGCGCTATTTATTGATAATAGGCGCAAAGGGAAAACCTTAGCTCCCCCCGTGCTGACAGGCCAGTACCGAAGTAGGCGCCCGAGAAGGATCGAAAAATTTTCGAAGCGGTACCATACTTTAAAATATTCAAAATGATGAAAGTACCAAAATATTACCTTCCTGTCAATTAGTATTTTTTCAATAAAATTTTTCAATTCTATTTTTTTCATCTAGGATTCTAGATTTCTTGATTTCTACTATAATTTCTAGGATTCCGAGAATAGCACCACAACCACCACACTGCCGTCCGCGACAACAGATTTTCTAGAAAACTCCACCGAAACTACGACGGCTAGAAAGGTTTGTGCTCTCTTTTTTTGCAGCTTTTCGGAGCCTTCAAGCTGTTAAGAAAAACAAACTTATCGTAGAGCCGAACCCGCCGTTCGACGGATGCCCAGGACGCAATGAATTCGACGACAGAAGAAACGTCAAGTACGCTTTACGCCCAAACACAGCAGATATTATGACTTTTTAGCCGCACAACCTTCCGAAGCGGAAACGACCACCACCAAAACCCCGGTAAAATACTCTCTCTCGGCTTTTAAAGAAACTTGAAAGTGCGAAAATCGACAGTTCCCATCTACTGGGTCCGGACAGCTGCTAGACTCCAAATGCCAAGACCAGCGCAATTGAATTTTATGCCAAGTTTCGTGTCACTAGCGATTGTCAAAAGAAAAAACGGTTTTGGAGTTTACGAGTGTCATTTGGATCGTCGTGTAGCTGTCGAGACCTAGTCGAGTGAGGTGGTCGATTTTGGCACTTCATACTCCCCCTCAAGTTCAGCCTTTTTTAGAACGGATGGCCCCTGGACCCAA